TATAAGTCGACTGAATTTTTGGTTTTGTCAGGAAGTAGGAATATGTAAGGATAAATGCTCATCTTTTCTTACCTTTGATGTTCAAATGTGGTTGGACGACACTTTTCCCGGGGTGAACTGGCTTTAGCTGGCTTGTAGTCTACAGATTGTTACGTCCATGGAATTCTGGAAAAACAAAACAAATGCATTGGAAGATCTTATGTTTGCGTAGGAATTCAAATTTTAAATGGCAATTAAGCAATCATGACTTGCAATTATTCTTGCAATCATACTTATTTGGGAAGTATTTAATAGTCCATTCAGACTACTTGGGTTTCTATTTGCCTTTTGTCCTTCCATGAAGAATTCTTAAATTGGGAGATTCCATTGCAGACATTAAAGCTGACGGACCAAGATTTTCTAGGAGAAGCTAGCTGTGTGCTGTCAGAGGTACTTACTCCCAGATCACATTATGAACGTGTCATTTTCCATGCACTTTCAGTGAAGTACAAATTTAATCCATCTAGAGCTTGTCCAATGAATCTTCTCCTTTCTATGTCCTGCAGATAGTCACAAAGCAAAGTCGGAGTTTGACCCTGTCGCTTCATAATAAAAATTTACAAGTAGGCGTGAGAAACCTGGGTACTCTGACTATCCATGCCGAGGAATCTGTTGCTGCCAGGACTGCTGTTGAAATAACATTTCGCTGTTCCCAGTTGGAAAACAAAGATATGTTCTCTAAAAGTGTAAGCTCTCCAAAATCTCTATTCAAAGGTCCTGTTTGATACTGTTCCTTGCCACAGTTTTTCATCGCTTTATATCTTGTTCTCCGGTGTTACCTTTTCTTAGGATCCTTTCCTGAGAATATCCAGAGTAGTTGAGTCTGGGGGTCCTCTTCCTATTTGCAAAACCGAAGTTATCAACAACAATTTGAACCCTACTTGGAGGCCCTTATGTCTAAGCATGCAGCAATTCGGGAGCAAGGCGAGTTTTACACAGAGCTTGTCATCATAATGTCTAATATGTTACTGGAGGCGCTAGTGATTTGACATACTGTAAGGCTTGTTGCAGGAGAATCCATTGGTCATTGAGTGCTTTGACTTCAATGCTAGTGGGAACCATGCACTTATAGGGTAAATGCCTATTCTCACGCAATTTGTAGTACTTAGGCTTTTTGTATGTTAATTTGCTTCTCGTTTATCACAGTCAACTTCAGAAGTCCATGGCAGACTTGGAGAAACTTCACAAAGAAAGAAATGGTGCAAATTTTACTTTCCCAGCTTCTCATCACGGCCATGAAAAGGTGTCTGTCATTCCTAAATAGTTTTATACTCTTCTTTCTGATGAGCCCTCTGATCAGGTTAGGACTTGTCTGTTTAGGTTCTGAAGAGTCAGCTTTTTGTGGATCAATTCTGTGAGAAGGAACAATACAGCTTTCTTGATTACATATCAAGTGGTTTTGAGCTTAATTTTATGGTTGCTGTTGACTTTACAGGTACTTACTTAGTCCTTTGAATATTTGTTTATCCTAAAGAACTCTTATCTCTTTGATGCTCGATCTCATTTGGTTCCGATGCTTCGGGACTTTTCAGCTTCAAATGGTAATCCCAGAAATCCAGATTCCTTGCATTACATTGATCCTTCGGGAAGATATAATTCCTACCAGCAGGTATGTTTAATTTGCCTCCTAAACATGGTTGGTTGTCGGTTGACATTCTTTTTCTGTCCTTATAATCAATTGATGTCATAAGTCTATCCATTGCCTAATTCATGTTGCAAACATTTTAGGCTATAATGGAAGTTGGAGAAGTGATACAATTTTATGATTCGGATAGAAGATTTTCTGCGTGGGGATTTGGTGGAAGGACATATGGTGGTACTGTATCACACTGTTTTAACTTGAATGGAAGTCCAGATGGCTATGAGGTAGGTGAACTGAGACCTTTGCACAATTCCATTGGTATATTCACTTTTGGAGCAGGGAGTGTAATAGAAGAACCTCTGGGACATCATATCCAATTCCATAATTCACAGTTCTCTTTCTTGATAGGTTGAAGGAGTCGAAGGCATCATGGCTGCTTATGCTGGTGCTTTGCACAATGTTGCCCTGGCAGGACCCACTTTATTTGGTCCAGTGATCAATAGGGCTGCTCAAATTGCAGGCCAATCACTTTCTTATAACCAGAGCAAATACTACGTTCTGCTCATAATAACGGTAAAGTGGAAGCAAACATTTAATCTTTCTTAGCTTTTATATGTTTTTCTGTGTAGCTGATAGTAGTTTCCCCTTCTTGTTTAGGATGGAGTTCTCACCGATCAACAAGAAACCATGGATGCATTAGTGAGGGCATCAGATCTTCCACTCTCAGTTCTGATAGTTGGAGTTGGAGGTGCAGATTTCAAACAAATGGAGGTAGGTTTGTTTTCCGTCATTTAAGTTAGACTTCCTATTGCGTGACATCGAAATATTTCTTATAGAGAGGATTTAGAGAACTTAAACGGTCTATTTTATTTACTCCTGACAGACACTTGATGCTGACAATGGAATTAGATTAGAAAGCTCTACAGGTCGTGTAGCCACGAGAGACATTGTACAGTTTGTTCCCATGCGAGAAGTTCATCGTAAGTTGATTTTCTCGTGACTTTTTTTGGTCCAACGAATCCATTTAGCTTCATTAATTGAGATAGATGTTCATGTCAGGCCATACTGTTGGGAATTTAGCCGAGATAGGCTGAAAACCTGACATTCATGGTAATGTCATCATGGTATAGTTGGAGGATGTTAGTGTCGGACTCGATGTTGAATTTGTAGATTCCTTGGTTTCCATAGGCTTGTTCATTTGTTTACTTATTCTGACTTTATTGTATCTTGGCATGTTGTCTTAAAAGCCAATTAATCTGAAAGTTGTATTTGGTTGCTTCTTTCACTTTTCCTTTTTGGTGATAACAGAAAAAGGTTTTGCAAGCAAGTATAAGTTCATTAAAATAGTCTAGGAGTTCCTGATAAATCTTCGTTTGTCTTCCGTCTGACAGTAACTTAAGCGAAATTATAATGTCCTTGGCAGGTGGGAGTATATCAGTCGTTCAAGCTCTTTTGGAGGAGCTTCCTGGACAATTTCTGACCTACATGCGGGCTAGAGAAATAAAACCACGCACCCAAATGCCTCTTTGAGCAGGTCTCAGCAAAGTGCCATTTGTGCCGAAGTTCCTTGAACATCACAAAAGATAATCAAGGGAAGGATTATGTTCAGTCTCGTTTTGTGTACAGCTGCTTCTTTAGAAAAGCTAAAACAAGGAAAGGACAAAGCGGTCTGATATGCCTAAATGTCGTTCCTGTAAATTGCTCATCGTGCTGCAAGATTGTGAATATGGTTGACAATTTCGTGGAATAAAGTATAGTTTAGCTTCGTATTTGCTCCTGACAAAATGACTGACCATACGTACATCTAGTATAATTTCAAGTTTTTTAGAGTAGACAAAGACAAAGTCCTACATTGGACATTACTCTCATCGTGTTATGGTCAATAAGACAAAAGTTGATACATTTTACATGCTCGGCTATTTTTTCAATCATCAAATCATTTAATTTGAGAACGCTTGCTTTGCTTATTATCGCTAAAGTTTTTTCGCGACTCCTCGTTCTTCTTTACGTGCTTCACATAAAATGGGGAGTGTCGAATATATTTCGTACTTACTGCTTATTTTCATGGCACACTTCGTTTAGCCAAGAAAGATGGAAACAGAGATTGGAAAAGATACTTCAAAGACCAAAGTATGAGCTTCCAAACTATAGGATGTAATCAATCACATAGTTAATGGGTTTATTAACTGAGTTTCATTTAGTTTTGTTTTATTATTTAGAAAGGAACTTCACCAATTAGTCTTCTTTCTTAGTTGAATTGATAAGAAGGTGCGCTGAAATTGGAAATTTACTGCAAAACACCTAGCCTATCTAAAGTTTTATACTGCTCTATATGAAACTTGTCATTGATTTGAAAACATGTGATTGTCAATACGAACAAGATTGAATATATCATAAACCACGACATTTTTTAGCGTAAGACACATTGAGTGTATTACGATAATCTGAATAGATTTACGATGGGTTACGACACGGCTAATGAGATGCAATTGATGCGCCACGCAGAAACCATGCAGATCATGCTACTTGTGATTTCATTGAAAAGCTGATTAGTCATCAATTAGCAACTCCACAAAGCACATATGCAACACAGTCATTGTGACAACAAAAAAAAAAGAGAAAATACACTCAAGAAGACCAATGAGGCAAAGAACATCAAGGATTAGTTCGTTTTGTTGATACCTAGAAGTACCGGATAATCAGAATGAAAAGGCTAAACAAAAGAGGACTGATGAGGGATCAAGATGACAGTCGCAACAAAAGGGAAATGCACAAGAAGATAGAAGTGAACTGAATAACGGATGGTGAGATGAGGTCTTTCTTCCAGTTTTGGTTGATGTTGGGTTGTCACTTCTCTTGACATATACAGTAGAGAGTAGATCAAAATGTGAATTAGTCCCTCTCAGGCAGCAAAGGCCCCCAATTCTCAGTACAGGACTGCAATCGCGCCACAAAAAGTAAGGACACAGCTTGCTGGCTAGACAATAACACTATCAAACTCGAGGAACCACAGTGAAGGTTGCCGATTATTCAAGGACGTCTGATATGTAGTCTTGTCGAAATCATGCCAATTCTTACCAGACAACACGTATTAATGTTAAAGATATGGTGCTTTAACTCATTTGTGACGCAATCACACAAGTACATAGAGAAAAAAAACCATTGTACATCAGCAAGTGCACTGGACATCCGAACCGGACGTCCAGATGACATCAATAAAAGGAAAATTATAGGCACTTGCGCTGCAACTAAGTTTACAATACATGGTTTCATGATTGATGCTGGCAACTAGTAATTTCCTTCTTCATTCGATAACTTTCCAATTTGCATGACCATTCTCCTATTTCAATTCTACAGTTCACTGACAAAAAGAAATTACTTCGACAAAAAAATGACAGAATTGCTTTACATATCCGTGAATCCAATGGAAAGGACAATTGGTATCCATGGAACGATTGTCATGGGTAAAAATAAAAGAAAGTAAAACCTGTAATATCTGACACCTCCTCCTAAAAAGCCGATGTTCAGTGCTAAGAAGTGAAGCCCTGTACATCTAACTAAATCTCTTCCGGTGCATTGGATGCAACAAGGTGGTTAACTACACCAAATATTTGAAGTCTTTGATGTATTATCCTCTCTACGCCTAAATACAGCGTCAACCAATTACTTTAAGGGACTTCAGGAAATGTTGGTGAAGAAGAGGAGTGGCAGTAACTATAGTCGTGGTGCCCAACATCATTCTCGACGGACTTTAGATTTCTTCTGTGAAAACAACGATCTTGATGATAAAGGAACAATAATCTCATAGATATTTTTAATGAGTCCTTTATCATACTTGTTCTCCTTAACAACAGGCTCAGCATCTTCCAAGGGTGATCTTCTGAAGAAAGCCCTCCATTTGCTTTCACGAGCCAACACCTCACTGCTCATCCCATTAATACTGGCTCGGAGCGCCGCAGTACTCGCTCTTGCTTCATTCAGCTTCCTCTGCCAACTTAAGTACTCTTGCCACTTGAAAGTCTGCAACCACATGTAGCAATCGGACCATATTCCATTATCACATCACATCTTATGTTTTCGATAGTAAAACTCTGAAGATTAGTATGTTTGTTAACAGGAGATGGAACCAGGCACATCTAAAATCTTAAGCTAGGGATGGATGAGGTACTTAGACTAGCAAGGTCAAGCCTTCATTCTTCAATTAAGTCTTGGTGAGTTTAACATTAATCTCTTCATTTTTTGACTGACAATTTCAATATTTTCCAGTTTCTCTCCCTTTAAATAAAGCAGTTTTCCAAGATCTCCAGGTATAGGCCAAAAAAAAAATCAAATGGAACCTACAAGCAGACCAAAGTACATTGCTTCTCGCTTTTTCACGCTTCTTAGTTCAAGATTCTGAACCAGGAAATTTCATTTAGGTTGAGGACTTAAAGATCAACGAATAAAATACGACTACTTCATGTTCTACTCAGTACAAAACAAGTGAAGTGCATATCGGAAATCTATTAGCAACACCAACCTCATTAGTGGTAGTGTTTGTGAAGCAGAGGCTGGCATGGTAGCCAAAGAAACCTGCCAGTAGCAGTGCAACTATTGCAAGGAACACCATAAGCAGTATTTGAGTATCATAGGATCCAACAAACCACTGTTTCAAACCAAAGATGAAAACATAAAAAACAAAAAAAAAAAATTGACTGAGAAGAACACGGATGAAAATTATGAAGCCGCTAGCACTAAAACATCAAGTACGGATTGAAAGAGATGATAACCACATAACAATTCTCAAAAAGAACACGAAGGTGAAATCAGATACCAGTAGAACATGGTACGACAAGAAAAAGATGCAGATAACGGAAGACAATGCCATCTCAGACCCCAACATCCCCAAAAAAAAATAATTACAAAAAAAACCAGCCCAATCAACTACCTTAATCCAATAGAGTAGCAAAAATTTGCATTGAGCATTGTCTTAGACAATTTCAAGCAATTATAATCAATCCCCACCCAAAACATAATTAAGTACCAAATAATCACTCCATCCATGAAAAAGTATCTTAGAGCCATTTCAACTTCAAGGAAGAATCAAGGATAAATGTCATATTTATCTGAGTTCTTTAAAGTAGCAGGCACCCATTGAAGAGTAAAAGATTTTCTAGATGAAGGCCTATTGACAAGATCGGAAACAATCAAATAAAATACTAACCTGAAGCACATGTGGAGCTAAACTACGGAAAGAATTTTCTACACCATAATACACTGCAAGAAAGAAAAGCAAATAAATCTAAAACCCATGATTGATCAACAAACAAGACATATAGGCTACAGAGCATATGTACCAGTTAGTATATAGATCACTCTCGATTCCTTCAGCTGTCCAGCAAGAACCAATCCAATGGCAACAACCCCATATATGCAAACTAGAAAATGCCTGGAAACAAGTAACCAAATGAATACACACTAAGTTTGTTCATGTAAAGCTGTTAAAGCAGAGGAGCTCTAATCCATTTCTAACACAACAACTTAAGTGGGTAATCAGCATAAACAAATAATCAGCATCTGTATTTTAAGGATTAAAGGATTATCCCTCGTTCTTTGATTGAAACTGTCCATGACCAGTAATTTTATATCAATTGAATGCGATTGTTGTTGCAATACATCAGATAAAGAGAACACGGCATCTTTCACCACAATGACCATTTACTAACTGCACTGTCTCCTAATTTAAGCTAAGTTTTGACCTTTACCCATCCGGAAAAAAAAATGAGCTCAATCTAGAAAGTTATCACAATTTAAGGTTGCTATGCCATTTAATTCAAGATTATCAATGCCATGGCTTCTACAGCAAAAAAATACAATCATGACACATCCCCAGCGCGACCACTCCTGTAGATTTTCTTTGACCAGAACCATGCACAGGCTAAATTATTAAAAGCTTAAGTTCGTAGACATCAAAAGAAGCCTGCATCAGTCCTTTTCTTTTCATAGATAAGACCTCTTTGTTTAGTAATCATGCTCGGAAAAGGACTCAAGCTGAGAACCATATGTTAAGTCTATTTGCTTCATCTGTTCTAAGTAAAGGAGAAGAGAATATTTGGACCTTCATTAATCAATGCACTAATATTGCCGCCATTTATGTGGAACTCACCATAAAAGAAAAGCCATGAAGTATCGAGTATTTCTCTCCCCTATACAATTATTCTGCATGAAAATACCAGCGCATTGATAGTGATACCATATTAGATCCTTCTCCAGCAATAAATGAAAAAGTAAGGCATACCATCCACCCACAATGATGGTCAAATCTTGCAACACAGCGATCACAAATGCTGCAATGCTTGGATCTGGCAGGTCTGGAGAACCAAAAAATAGTGAATAGCTCACAAAGCAAAAGGTTTATCTTGACAGGAATATAAAAGAAAAAAACTCACTTTGGAATTTTGCAAGTTGGACACTCTTTCTCAGAGTAAATAATATCATCATAGGGATAAGCAGCAAGATATTGAGAGACATTATCATCCTTTACAATCCCTGGATCAGAAAAACTAGTCAATACGAAGAGAAAGAGACCGATGCCAACTGCCAAGAAGCTCGTGTACCTGCATTAACAAGGAACAGCTAATCAACGTCAGGTCACGTCATTAGCCTCCAACTAGAAACTGTAATACTTGAGGAAGAAAAAGAAACGTGAGCCTTTAGATCACCTAGTCCAATACTAGTGAGCTCCACTGAAAATATTACCCACTGATAGAACTAAGGATGAAACTGCAGCAACCTAGTAGACTCATCATCCTAACTAGAGTCAAATCCAATCTAGAGAAACAAGCAGACTGATGGCTGACCTCATGCAAAAAAAGGAAGGAATAAATCCTGATTCTGTGAAAGTCTGAAGCATGATCTAGACAAACTTCAAAGCAAACAAAGAAATCCATCAAATAAGAGATAAGGAATAGCCAAGGTTAATCAAGAAGAAAACCAAAAAAGAGATCCAACACATATCCTAAGGAGCCGAAATCCAGGAATGCGAGAAGCTAAATGCATGATATGAATATAAAGGAAGCAAGAAGACTCGATTGATGATTGACCTCATGCAACAAATGAAAGGAGAAGAATCCTGATTTTGTGAAAGAATGAACAGTAATCCAAGCAAGCAAGCACAATATTTTTCATCAGGGAAGACAACAATCAATCTTCCTGCTTATAAATAAGCGAACCAAAGGACCTCCAAAAGATGTCATGAGGAGCCGAAACCCAGATAAGGCAGGAGGAGCAAATACATGAAAAATGAATGCAAATATGCTTTCATATCCCACAACATTTGTCTTCAACGTAATGAGAGCCAAATTATCGTTTGCTTTACGAAGTGTAGCTTCCTTCTCTCTTCTGAAAGCCTAAATTAGTGAAAAAGACACTTCCCATTTTCTGCTTTTCCAGGGAGTTATTTGCACTCATTCACATCTCTTCCAAAAGCATTTGTTTTTTAAACCATCCACAGGGCACCTGACCTTCAAGAGTTTCCATTCAAAGATGGATTCCGCATAAAATTACTCTACCATTGAGGAACACAGAGACGAAGACACTTGTGCGCATGCATATTCATATAAAGGCAGGCATACAACTGACAGGAAAATTGGTTCTTCATAAGTTCCAGATCATTTTCAATGGCAATTCCCTCAAGCTCCAAATGAAAAAATTTCCGCCTCAAAGACAATCAGAAGAATGCAAGCAAGACAGCCCAAACAAAAATTGCACAGATGACAAATAAAGCCAAACAATAATCCCACCACAAGATGATTGGGCTATCAAACCAAGTGTTTGTTCTTAATTATACCAGCTAATTGACTCATAACATAAATAGTGCAAATCCTCTCGAACAGTACCTGTGAAATCCACTTATATAATATCCAGGAATATAGCCGAAGCACGATTTTGCCACAATGAAATAAGTTCCTCCGACTATTGCCAAGTATATTATCTGCAAACACGCATATCACAACCATGAAGTCTGTTTCTATAAGAGGAACACTCCGGAAAAGCAAAAGGCTGCCAGTCGCAAATTGCCACAGCTAGAGACAAGATTTCCGCAGAAATACAGAAAGCAGAGTGTCGTTGCGATTGAATGGCAAGAACACGCTACAATGAACAGTACATTCAATAGCACATGACTCACGACCCGACAACTAACTACTACAAGAACGCCATCTCAAACAGAAAAGACTGTAACATTCCGCATACAATCTATCCAACTCCACTGACATATACCCAAAATGGTAATCCCAGTTCCTTCGCTTAGACGCAAATCACTATCAGCTAAGACTGTGAACTCGCTATGACAATACAGAATTCATACTTCATTGCGAGTGAAAGTACATAGAAATCGACTTCGCGAGCAGAAGCTGGACTTCAACCGCCAGAAAACATTCGATTCCCCACTTCCTAATTCAAAGACACGCATGACCACGGGGCGATAGAGCTCCCAAAATCAAGCATTTTAAGAACAAGGTGCTCCCCGCTCGCGATTCCAACAAGAATGAAGGATTACATATCAGAGTTCGACACATGGGTGAGCGGGGGGGTGCAAAAAGAGGAGCTTCCGCAGCAAAGAGAACCTGCAAAATAGGGTTGGGGCGATCGCAGCAAAACCGCTCCACCTCCAGAATCGCGTTCGTGCCCCTAATTCCAAACAGCACGCCGACGCACCTCCTTCGCAACGACAAAAAAGGCAAGGAGGAGAAACAGGGGAAACAGTTTGAGAATCCGGATCCGAAACCCACGACGGGACCGGGAAAATTAGACCGATAGAGCGAGAGCGAGCGAGAGCTAGAGGGAGGGGGAGAGAGAGAGTACAGGAGGCAGTCGTAGGCACCGACGGTGAGGAAGCGGTGGATGGAGGCGATGGGGGTGCGGCGGAAGATGGGCCACTGGCCGCACAGGAAGGAGACGACCACCACGAGCGTCGCCAGCCCGTGCATCACCAGGACCCACTGCACGGCCATCTCTCTCTCCCTCTCTTCAGTGAGTGAAACTCAGATCGAACTCATTCGAAGGAGAAGATGATGTTTGGTTTGTCCGATGAAGAAGACGACCGGCTTTCCTGCGGAAATCGAAGTGACCGATGTATTCCGATCGATGATGAATCGGAGGGGAGGGAGGGAGGGAATCGGCAGAAACAAGAAAAAAAGTCGGTGGAAGCCCACCAAGTAAACAGAAACACGACGTCGTTTGACGAAGGATCAACCATTTCCAAAAGGAATAGTCACACAAATGATCTCTCAATTTTGACATAATATGTAACGTGATCTTTAAATTTTTAATTTATTCAATTTGATTCTTAAACTTTTACTATGTGTCCAATGTAGTCCCCTAAACTATATAATAATATTTAATATTATTACTTCATTAATTCAAGATTATAAATAATATTGAACATTTAGATATGATTCAAAAACTAAAATGAATATATACCAAAAGTCCAAAGACCATATTGAATAAATTAAAACTTCAAAAATCACATTTCACATTAAGTTAAAATTTAAACACATTATTTAACAAATTAAAAATTTGAAAACCACACTACACATTAAATCAAAATTCATGAACTAATTATACCATTTTTCCCGTCAGAAAATGTTAAAGAGAATGCTGCAAGCATATATTAAAAAATGTATTTTTATCGGTGCTTATTTTTCTACATGTTTTTTTAAATGTTTGCATAATTTTTACATATGTTTTATTTGGGTTGTCAACTTTTGAGCGTCAAAAATGCCTAAGTTAAACATTTGTCGAATCGGAAATACAAAGTGCAGCCTAAAAAAGTTGGAACGTACCATTTCAATAAAACAAACATATAACAAAATGAATTTAAAAGAAGGTTTGAACAATACACTATTAACGTCTCCAATCATGGATTTTTTATTCAGTGTCGCAGTTTATATGCAATTGCTGGATTAAATCTCAAGATCGCACCTCCTTATTCACCATTTAAAATTTTATAGCGATAAATTAAAGGTTGTGGACTTCCCAAAATAATTCAAATCGAGCGGGTTTTAAATAAACAAAAAAGCGCAGGCTTTACGGAAATCCCCTTTCTCCGTCTCTTCTTCTTTGCTTTCTCCCGCGATGAAGGCAAAACCTACTATTTTTCTAGAACAATTTGTAATATTCATATGATTCTAGAATATAATCAAAAATTAATATCGCCGACAACCCGATATTAGAGAAACGCCAAAGTAAAAGTCAAGGAAAAAAAAAAACGCACCCTTTACTGCTTTTTGATTCAACAGAGCCACCATAAAAACATAAAAAGTAAAAAGTAAAAAAAGCAGACGTATATTGCAAAGATCAAGGTCTAAGTCCTACAGCAAGATCGAAGAAGAACCCACCAAAAGAAAAAAATCAAAAATCAAAAATCAAAAGAGAGAAAAAAATTAGAGAAAGCGCGAAGGGGTGGCGGAGCCCGCCCTAGAATTCCTGGGAAGCGGACCCGATGTCGCCCTTGCCCTTGCCGGTCTTCTTCGGCAGCAGCGTCTGGTGGATGTTGGGCAGGACGCCGCCGTTGGCGATGGTGACCGACCCCAGCAGCTTGCTCAGCTCCTCGTCGTTCCTCACCGCCAGCTGGATGTGCCGCGGCACGATCCTGTTCTTCTTGTTGTCCCTCGCCGCGTTCCCCGCCAGCTCCAGCACCTGGAACACCCCGCGCGCACCACGAAGCCAATCGAGAAGTCAGACGAGCTTTCACAACAAAAAGGAAGAGGGATTCCGAACAAACGCAGGCAAAATTTCCACCGACAAAAGTTCAATTGAGGCTAATCGAAGTATGAATTAAGGATAGATTCAGTCGGAAATCCAAGGGAAAGGCAGGAACCAGACGCATGCGAAGCATTTCGATCAAATCCGCCACCAAAGTAGGCCTAGATAGTCAATAGAGCATCAAAATCAAGTGCGGAAACCGCGACAGATCTAGGCAAGAAGTCGTCAAAAGCACTTCCACCGGCGTAAGAAACAGCAAACCGCATGGTAGTCAGAGGCAATCCCAGGCAATAGATTTGAAGTGCTTTCGGCCAAAAAGAAACGGTTCGTCAGCAAAACCGAAAAGCCGAAGCGCGCGCGCGAGAGAGAGAGAGATCGGGGAGGGGAACCTCGGCGGCGAGGTACTCGAGGACGGCGGAGAGGTAAACCGGGGCGCCGGCGCCGACGCGCTCGGCGTACTTGCCGGCCTTGAGGAACCGGGCGATCCTGCCGACGGGGAACTGGAGTCCCGCCTTCTGGGACCTCGAGACGGACTTGGAGGCCTTGGGCTTGCCCCTCCCCCCCTTCCCTCCTTCCTTCGAACTCATACTCGCCCTCCCGGAAAAGATCCGAAAACCCTACAGCCCCGCCGGAAATCGGAGACTTTCCGTCGACGGCGGGAGCCGGACGGCGGCTAGGTCGAGAGAGAGAGACGAAGAGAATTGCAGATGCGCGCGCTGCTGCTGCTGCTGCGTCGGTGAGGGGAGGAACGGGGAGGGGTCCGGAGTATATATAGGTGGCGGGGGCGCGATCCGATTGGCGGAGCGCGGGGTGCCGCGGATCGCCAGCGTGGCGCGGGGGGGCTCGGCCGTTTCGTATTTTTCCTCGGTTCTCGCGGGAATTCTCGAGCTTCATCTCCTCCTCTGTACGGAAAGCTGATGCTAATGAAGCCCTTTTCGAATTTTTTAAGGATGTACGGGACTTCGAAATAATGGGAAATTATATTATTTTTTTTCTCTCCTCGTACACACGATAACAGATGAAACGTGTACAATTAACTGGAAATGGCACCATTTGAAAAGTGTGTTTTTTTTTTTTGGTATAATTCCCGTATGGAGAAATTACATTTTCCCGAGATTTTTCCACCCCGCGTCTCATTTTCCCTCCCTCGCTTCTCTCTCTCTCTCCGTGATAGATCATAACGTTAACTCTGATTTGTTTTTGACCTTTATTATTTTTGCGACGCCTGTAGTAGTTATATCACGCGTCTTAAATTATTAAAAAGGCAACTCAATTAAAAGAATGATAATGCGAATTATATTTTTACTCATTATCAAAATAACAAGAGTACTTTTGGAAGTATGAATAATTGACCGATTATTCGGATATTTATATTCAAATAAGCATGTCGAATTTGTCCGCAGTGATTTAATATGGAAATGCTACCTCGTTTGCATAGATTGTAGGGTGGCACTCTGTAGTTGAATATCTAGAATTGTCTTTGACAATATGATTGATATGAGTTCACCAGATGCCCATTATTTTCTAGCCATTAGATTTTTATGAATCTTTTCAAAAAAAAAATTGATCTTTAGAGGATTATTCGATCAATTTATCGTATGCTCGATTCTTTCTAGTGTAAAATGATATAAGCGACATAGACGTGTTCGTACAGTCCGAACAATTTCATTCTCGATTGCTTTGTTTTGCTTGATTCTCGAAATCATTTTGGAGTGACGTAATATCGAATGGAATAAATAATGCCGACCTAACAATATAAAATAGAGTTCTATCTTAATTGTTTATCCATTATGTATTTTACGTCCATTTTAGAGACGTTATTAATTTATTATTTGATTCATCATCTCTTGCAAACTCTAGTTTGTCCTAAAGGTCGAATAGTCCGGCACCTATAAACGACGATGAAAACTATATTTGTTCTATTCTTCATATATTTTCGGGAATATATATTCTATAAATACCTCATTTGAAAAAAAAAAAAAAAAGAGCATCATGCCCAATTGATTAAATTACGCAAAAAAAATTGTCATGTAATAATACGGCCCATTCAATACTTTTGGGCCCCAAGCAATGGGCCTGCGACGGCCCAATCAAAAGTAGTTATGAATCAGCCCATTCCATGATTGCACCTGCCTTAATCTTCAATTTCTCACCTTTTGGATCATTATAATTCCAAGGACGCATTGAATCGTATAAGGTTGCGTCGGATCGTCGAGATGAAAATTAGGATTAGGAAATGCATAGGATAGAATGGGATGATAAGACCTTGGACTTTTTTATGTCCCATCATAGTTGGTCCACTATTTGACATAATGTAGGAATAGATAACTAAAACATAGAAAGAAAGTTAAATGATTAGGCTAGGGAAAAAAAAAGATTGTAGGCCATTGGAGGATAGCACCATTGCCTAGGGCTCAATCTCATCTCTACTTTAGAGCTGAAAACGAGAAAGATGAATCTTAGGCAACCACTCAACACTAGTTGCTTGAGAGCGACGATCATAGCGCGATGGCAGCCTGAGAGCTCTGACCAACTTGCGGTGGTCACTAGAGCCGCCATCAGTGGTGGCACGACTAGTACTGATGGTCTGTAGCGAGAAAGGAACCATTCATTGCCTTTCTTTTTTCTTTTTTTTTTCGTTTGGTTCTTTCTTCTTCTTTTTCTCTTTGTTATCCAATCTAGGTTTATCACACTCCCAAGGCAAAGACAATTATTTGACCATGTATATAAACTTCTCCCGGGTTATCCAAACTCAAGGATGTGACCAAATAGGATTATGCTATCCAGCTTTACATATAAACTGCCAAACGCAACCTAAATCTTTTTCTCGTTCCCTTTACTCTGACAAAAGAAATCCTCCAACCCAATACCTATTGGGAAAAAACACATATATACTAAGCTTATTTCTTTGATGGTTTGAAATTTCAAGGAGTATTCATGTTTGTTTCACTTCTTGGGAAAACTTGTAATGATTTGGACATGCTAAATTGTTATGCATTACTTTTCTGATAGATCTCTTCGAGAACATTATGACCTCATTTATCTCATTACCTTTTTTCACGTTTTCAAGGTTGAAAAAAAAATGCAAGAAAGATTCGTTGGCAACTGCTACGACAATTTTGCAAGTAATCGTTATTTCAAAAATACAAATTGAAAATGAGCATATATTCATGAAATTACCGATATATAATTAATATTGATAATTGGGATTCCTATATTTATAGTCACATTTTTTATAGATATCGAACATCTCTTTATTTTCTTTTATTTTTTTCTTCTTCTTTCTATAATATTAAATACTACGGTCATTCGTTTTGGATTTGCTATCATCATCTTGGGGGAGCCATTCCCCAAGGCGGTACACCCATCAAAATTTGTCGCGTGTTCTTTAATGGGGGCAAATCAATTTGAAGTGTGCAAATTTATTTGGATAATAATTACCATATTTTATATTCATTTCCCAATTTAATTTAATCATGTTTAATGCATGTAAATTGTTTATTTGTTTTTACCACTCAACGCTAGTTGCTTGAGAGCGACGATCATAGTGCGATGGCAGCCTGAGAGCTCTGACCACCTTGCGGTGGTCACTAGCGCCGCCATCAGTGGTGGCACGACTAGTACTGATGGTCTGCAGCGAGAAAGGAACCATTCCTCATTCCTTGCCTTTCTTTTTTTTTTTCCTTTGGTTCTTTTTTCTTCTTTTTCTCTTTGTTATCCAATCTAGGTTTATCACACTCCCAAGGCAAGACAATTATTTGACCATGTATATAAACTTACCCGGGTTTATCCAAACTCAAGAATGTGACCGAATAGGATTATGCTATCCAGCTTTACATATAAACTGCCAAACGCAGCCTAAATCTTTTTCTCGTTTCCTTTACTCTGACAAAAGAAATTCTCCAACCCAATACCTATTGGGAAAGAAAACGTATATACTAAGCTTATTTCTTTGATAGTTTGAAATTTCAAGGAGTATTCATGTATGTTTCACTTCTTGGAAAAACTTGTAATGATTTGGACATGCTAAATTGTTATGCATTACTTTTCTGTTAGATCTCTTCGAGAACATTACGACCTCATTTATCTCATTACCTTTTTTCACGTTTTCAAGGTTGAAAAAAAATGCAAGAAAGATCCGTTGGCAACTGCTACGACAACTTTGCAAGTAATCGTTATTTCAAAAATACAAATTGAAAATGAGTATATATTCGTGAAATTACCAATATATAATTAATATTGATAATTGAGATTCCTATATTTATAGTCACATTTTTTTATAGCTATCGAACATCTCTTTATTTTCTTTTATTTTTTTCTTCTTCTTTCTATAATATTAAAAACTACTGTCATTCGTTTTGGATTTGCTATCATCATCTTGGGGCAGGCTGGGCAGCCACTCCCCCAGGCGGCACACCCATCAAAATTTGCCGTGTGTTCTTTAATGGGGGCAAATCAATTTGAAGTGTGCAAATTTATTTGGATAAAATTGCCATATTTTATATTCATTTCCCAATTTAATTTAATCATGTTTAACGCACGTAAATTGTTTTTTTTTAATCTTTCTCCATCAGTACTGCAGTTACCAAATCATTATTGAGGCTCACCATTTTATTTCAATTTTAGTATCAATTATACAAGAATCAAATTTTATCATGGGAAGTTATTCTTTAATTTTTCTTTTCTTTTTATGTTTTGCATTATGGCATTTGGTGCTTGGACAAGTATATCACTTGGCTTCCAATGAGATTGCCAAATGTCATCATACAGTGGAAAATTGTTAAAACTTCGAATAACTACATCTAAGATGATTAGCATATGCATAAATAAGTAAATGTATAATGGGAAGAGATATCCATATTTTATATTGAAAATCATTTGCTAAAAAATATTATCATGTGAATAATTCCACAAACATTATAGAAGTGCTTTATTATTTTATAACCCCAATTCGCCATAGCTGTGTATAGCGTTGATGAATTCCCAGTCCATGAACTAAAGATCACTCGTTCGAATCTCACTAGATGCGTACAAACTACTATGAGTCGGGGACACATGCACGTACTAATCGTTTGGATTTAACCATTTCACGTGGTTCATAGCATGTTCTCCAGGTCTCTAGGTAGCCGGGTTCCCGCACTCGTACTCCTAGATCATTGAAAAAAAATGTCTTATTCCTCTCTTCCAACGAGAGGGTGAGGATGATATTATGTGGACTGATGGAAGAGGCCAATACACAAGAATCCAAGATCTGTTCCCTTGCTGTTGACCCAGTCCCAAATGCATCCAAGCACCTCTTGCAGCTTCAACAATAATGGCGAGTGTCAATCCAAAGCAGAGCTCTCACAGGTGAAAGTGATGTTTATGGAGAGTGACCCAAGAGAGAAAGATGCTCTCCCTTCCTACAGGATGAAAGCTTCCAATTCGTTTATGGCTCAAAACTAGCCAGCCAATGCCATACACAAGCGCGTCTTCCAACCAAATTGTGAAAGATACGACTCTAAATGAAGTGGGCATCAATTTTTTTTTGCCCTTTTACTCGTGGGTTATGTTCGTAATTGAGTAACCGAAGATACCTTAAAAGTTGTTGGTTACATGGCGAGCGTGTGGACTATTCATGAACACCGTACGTGTAGTGGAGAACGTACTCATGAGTATGGAATAGGTGCGCGCATAGATTTGATTTCTCATATCTTCAAGTACAAATAATTTTATATTCGGATCATCTATGTGACTTTTAACTTCCGTCTTAGCAACTCCGATGAGGCTGGTAAGGCATTTCATAGTCTCCGGATTCGCCAATATATAATGCGGGCTCACTGTCGAAGCAATAATTTGTTGATTACCAAGATTTTTAATAATAAGCAATCTGTTCAGTTACAGTAGCAAAAAGAGCTCATTAATTATTTCTTGGATAAAAACACTAAGGATCTATCAACTATTGCAAATTGTTCAATCGGGTCCTTTGTACTTGGGTCCCAAGCTATATATTTTTGGTACGAATTGGTCCATCCGTTAGAAAATGATACAAAAATGCTAGCGAGGAGGTACACGGCAACGCCATGTCAATAGTGAAATGTACTTTTCTTGTGATGATTTAGAAAGTTTTGTCATCGTGGTGGGGGAAGGGGGGCACTGCAACTGGGACACTGCAATCGTTAGGGGGTAGTAGAGGGCGGTAGCAAGGCCACTGAGCCCTTGCCAGCCTTTGATAGTTGCGACGTTGCCGTTGCCAACCCACATACGAGCACATATACATAGAGAGATATACGCACACTTTCTTTCTTTCTCTTAAGATAGAACCCGTCGAGGGTAGTTTGTTCACTTTAACAAATCAATTTTTAACATCTTTGCTTGAACACTTCTCTAGGTAAAAGATAATTTACCCAGTAGTGGTCTTGGCAGTAAATCCCTCCCATCGATAGTGAAACGCTTGGTCAGCTCTGGTTAATAAGCTAGGTGGCGAGCAAACGTATTTGTTAAAACAAATTTATTAAGGTGTTCAATATCTGCTTTTAGTTCGATATCACAAATGTCTTCAGATCAAGTAGCTATCTATAGAGAAGATATAAACGTTGAAGATTTCAACAAATCAATTGAAATTTGAGAAATTTCTAAAGTTCAACTTACTCAGATTTATCATCTGTCTAGTTAAGTATTAAATCACCCATTAAAGAATGACTAGACACTTCAATCCTCTTAGTTTTAAGAGATTCACGCTAATTGAATTATGAAGAATCAATCATTGGAATTGTCGAAACAAGTCTTTGTAATGGACCAATCCATTTTGATGGTTATCCCAATTGTTCAGTTTTTCTTAAAGATAAGAACATTCTTAGGGCATTAACTCTCTATATGCATAATTAAAAAAATAGCTGATGGATCTATTCCTTTAGCGCCTGTTTACAAAATCCATTACGAAGCTATAATATCTGCTTTTGGCAGCAAAGTTTTTAAACATAGTTAAAAGGAGAAACTCTTCTCCTTCAAATAGATATTCTAGAGCCAACACAGTTATTCATAGATCCATCAATTAAAACCAAGTGATTCTCTTAAATCAATGTGAATTATAAATTGTTTTCCCCCGACAAATTGTAGTAGTAGCTCCTCCAATCCGTGAATCACTTCTAATATTCAAACCAATCCTACTAAAACCCCAAAAGTTGTTTCTAGTATTATTGGTCTTGATAATTGATGTCGAATTTCTAAACATGTTTATCCGCAAAAACAAACCGATTAGATTCCAGAAACATTAGATGTTCCAAATTATTCACCCACATATTCATCCATGGTCGAAAATCAGAACACCAATCCTGAGCTTCTTATTCTTGACAAACAATTTGAACCAAATTAAACCAAGAATTCAATTCGGAATAAAATACAGAAATCAGACGGTGGTTTTTCAACACTTTCTCGAATCAAGCCCAAGAAATCAAACAAAAATACTATAGTTACATGCATAAACATGAACAAAGAGAAATCCAGGTCCTAGATGAGCTTGTGCTGAAGTTCTGGTGTTGGCAATACAATCTCAAGGGCCTTTAGTGCAAAGTTAAGTTTCGAATATGCTCAAAACTCATTTGTAACCAGGTTTGGTTTTAGCATTCCAAAGATTATGCTTTAGGGGTTTAATGAATGCATTCTCCCAATCTTGCCCTCAATACTTTAGGCGTTTCTATTTTACCCTTGATGTGGACAGAAACAACGATTGTGGCTGAGAATACGCCGAGGAACTCAAAAGATGTTGGCGTTGCCTCGCTTGGTGTTTGTGTGACCTCGGTTGCCCTCACCTGTGGTTGCACGAGAGTCAAGGGGGCGCGGTGGGTTGAGCGTCGCATGACAAGAGGGTTGAGGGGTGATAGTAGTGGACGAGGTGAGGTTGTGATTAGGGTGAGCAGTGTTTTAGGGTAGAACCTACAACATGAAAATTTGATCGGTAAGAGCCTGTAAGTTCCAGGTCCCATGATATACAAGGTAAGTTCCAGATTCCAAAAATTAGAGAACCTGTTTCGACAGGTAGATTCCAGGTTCTAGTAACCTCGAACTTGGAACTTGAAATCTTAAATAAGTTTTTTTGTGTTTTTTCTTGATCTATGTCTTCGCGTAATCATGCGGTTTTCCATGGCGTTAGATGATGAATATATAATTTGGAACCACCAGTTTGAGCTTTCATTTTATGACTTGTTAATGTTTCGTATTTTCCGCGTGTCTAATATAAGTTGTAGTCAGTGGATCGCAATAGCAAGTGGTAATCATTAAAGGTGATGATTCATTACAATTATTCAATTAATAATACAAGTAAAACCTAACTAGACCCTGGAACCGACCTTGGAACCTGTGATAGGGTAGGTTCCAGGTTTCAAGGTATGTATGGTAGGTTTCAGGTTCCAAAAAATAAAGAACCTCTTCTTATGGATAGGTTCCAGGTAGAACTTGTACGGAACCTGAAACTGCTCATCCCTAATTATGATGGCGGGGCTTATGGAAAGCTGGAAGTTGGAGTTGTCTCGCAGCAGCAAAGTCGGAGGATGAACTTGGTCGCCGGTGACCAATCCTTTGGATACGTCGATGCGGCGGAAGGGAGGTCACAGAATGAGAGGGCATCCTCATCAACGTCTTCAAAGTCATGGGAAATAGCGGGGGTGTCCGACAAGAGGATGGATCGTGAGTTCACCGAGTCAGTGTTACGCAAAAGGAAGTTGAGCTCGAAGTTTAAAGTGCATTACCAAATGATATTTACGTTTTGGGAAAGGTCCTTGAACTCAAAATCTTGCATCTAGATGGCAAAGTTTTTATCCCAGAATTCTCCCAAAAAAAGCTCCTTAAAGACATCGAACACCCTTTCTCCAAAGTCCCCTTTGAATTGAAAAAGTAAGCTCTTTTCTTGTCGTAACGTTCCGAAATATCTCCAGATATTAAAGACAAATTTCAAAAATGTTAAACCAGGAAAAAGCAAAAAAAAAGAAGAAGCAAAAAGCTTAAAAAAAAATTAAAATTAAAATCAAAATCGAGTGACGGGAGAGATTGGCTTTGACGTGTGGACCCCCACGGAACACAGTCCCCACTTTTCAGCCACACTCTCTCTCTCTCTCTCTCCCCTTTCTCTCTCTGTCACCACCAGCTCATCTTAGCATCTGCTCCGCAGAAGGTGCTAAAATGCGCCCACCCCCCCTTATCCTTCACCTCTGCCGCACGCTCACAGTCCACACACCCACCCTCTCTCTCTCTTCTCTCTCTCATTCCTTTCTGTACTCCGCACTCTTTTCATTGCAGCAGCGGCAGAGAGATTTTTTTTTAATCCATTTTTTTAACCTCTTGTCTCTTGTCCCTCCCACTGGATAATATCCCATTTTCACTTTCCCTTTGATCCCCTTCCCCATTCCCTCTGTAGAGACAGGTCCATGATGACGCCGGGTGGCTTTTCCCCACGGGACAAAGGAACAAAAAGGACTGATTTTTTTCCTCACCCTCGAGCACCCATTTGGAGCTAGAGAGAGAGTATAGTAAGCTGAGCGTGTAGGGTGGGGGGAGCGAGTTCGTGGTGTTCGTTTCGTTGGCTTTTTGTTTCTGTTCTGGTTGCGGAGCGTGATGGGTCGTGTGAAGTGGGTCGTGCCTGAAGTCGCGATCTGACGACTTCTGGGGTAGGGGGGTTGTGGTGGGAGGATCTCGGCGTTTGTCATCTGGGTTTTCTTACTTCCATGGCTGGGAGCAGTGGAGTCAGTCTTAGTGAATCCAAGGTAATTTTGCTTTTGGGGTCGTTTCTTTTGTGATGTCTGTTCTTTTCCCCTTTATCTCTTTCCGTATTCTGGTGTGTTTTCTGGGGTGAAAGAGATGGTGAGCATGGGATTTTTTGCTTTGTCGTCCGGTCATCTTGTGTAGTTAGGTGTATTTTGATCCTGGAATTATGTATGATACTTTTTCATGTTCTTTTGCCCTTTTTGTGTGATTTCGGTCGGAGCTTGGATGGTTGTCTTCGGTATCAGCTGAGGGTATCTTTTATGACTCTGAATTTGTCATCTTGCTTGTGAAAAGGTTTGATTTTCTGGTGTTTCGGCTTTGGACAGTTACTATGGTTCTGTTGGGACTGGATGATCATTTAGGGGTATCTTTCTCCTTTTGTTAATCTGCGGTTTCACCAACTTATTCGTGGATGGATGTACCGGTTTGGGTGTTTTGTATCCACTATCTCATGACGATTTGACATCTTTTTCAGCTCACATTTCGGTCACCGCTGTGTGTTGATGAATTCCTACCGTATGATCATATAATGCTTTTACAAGCTCTTTTGAGTAATCGGTACAAGCATGGTCAATGATCTTTAAGTTATTCTAGATGGATTTGCAACTACTGTTTTCCATTCTGTACTTGAACAGTATTTACTTCCATATATGAGGAATCCAACATTGTTTGCCGTTTTCGTCTGCCCAGATGGTTGTCCCTCTGAATATGTGGGTCCTAATTTCCAATTTCAAGTTGAAGTACAATCTTCTCCGTCGCCCTGATGGAACCTTTAACCGCCATCTAGCAGAGTTCCTCGATCGTAAGGTTCTTGCAAATGCGAACCCCGTTGATGGTATCGTCTCCTTTGATGTTATAATTGATCGTGCAACAAACCTCCTTTGCCGGATTTACCGCCCAGCTTTTACTGAGGAACCTCAGCCAAGTTTGATCGATCTCGAGAAGCCTGTGGACCTTGAATTCGTTCCTGTCATTGTTTTTTTCCATGGAGGAAGTTTCGCGCATTCATCTGCTAACAGTGCCATATATGATACTTTATGCAGAAGATTAGTAGGCATTTGCAAGGCCGTTGTAGTTTCCGTGAACTATCGCCGTGCACCCGAGAATCGATATCCTTGTGCCTATGATGATGGGTGGTCGGCTCTTAAATGGGTGAGCTCCAGATCCTGGCTCCAAAGTAAAATTGATTCCAAAGTGCACATATTTTTGGCTGGTGATAGCTCTGGTGGAAATATAGTTCACAGTGTTGCTCTAAGAGCTGCTGAAGCTGAAATAGAAGTATCAGGTAACATACTGCTCAATCCAATGTTTGGTGGAGAGGAGAGAACTGAGTCTGAGGAAAAATTAGATGGGAAATATTTTGTTGGCTTAAGAGAACGGGACTGGTACTGGAGAGCCTTCTTGCCGGAAGGTGAGAATCGTGATCATCCTGCATGCAACCCTTTTGGTCCCCGAGGGAATAGTCTGGAAGGGATTAAGTTCCCCAAGAGTCTTGTTGTTGTGGCGGGTTTGGACTTAATTCAAGATTGGCAGTTAGCTTATGCTAAAGGGCTAGAGAAGGCCGGCCAGAAGGTGAAGCTATTGTTTTTGGAGCAGGCGACAATTGGATTCTACTTGCTGCCGAACAATGACCATTTCTACACAGTGATGGATGAAATTAGTAGCTTTGTGAACACCGATGGCAAATAGTGTCAGTCTTGACTGAGGATTGGCTATGGAGTTTGAAGCTTGAAATTCTGGCTCGGTATGGTGGTGATGCGTAAGTATAATAGAATGTGCAGTGTTTACTACTCGTGGCTCTTATTATCATGTTGCTCTGAAGTTGCTCCAGTTTGGCCTCGTTCTTCTTGGTTAAGATAACTAGGCTGGCTGTTTGGGCACGTGCAAGATTCAGCATCTAGCTGGATCTCTTTTGTTTTGTTCTCGAGACATTCGAGTGATTCGGCAGCTATTTATTTTGGTCCACTATACCCACCAAATTCAAATTGCCACTTCTCTGGTGTAATGGAAAGGAAGGAGTTTGGCAATAGCATTTGGTGGGCTAACCAACCGGGATCGCTGTTCCCGCCTAACATCATATGGCTAATATGAACACATGGATTTGGAATCATCCATGGTGTTTCCCTAGCAAATATAGTTAAGTGTCCCCATATTTGTAAAATTGTTTGGCTTTTTGTGTAGTCATCATGTATCTTTGTAATTTACTCTCCGTGGCAAGTGTAAATAGAATGTTTAATCTATGTTATGAAAGCTCTTGATGCACTGGTCTTAACTATAGTGCTCTTCTGGGTGATGTGCTTTGTTAGTTCAATTTGACTCTCCCTCCCTCGAAATGCTTGCTCATTCATGTTATGAGCTATGGGAGATCTCTGTCCACTAGAAGGAACAGATAAAAATGTACAGATTACTCTAGTATGTTGCTGTTTTCTTAAAAAGGTCCATGCCTTCATTTATTAGTGAAGTCCCATTTTTCATGATGTCTTTTTCCTCAAGAATCTTTTCTTCCAGTCGTCTTCCTCAAATAACCACGAGAGCGAATCGATCATGTACATGCTGATGTCATGTTAAGTCGGCGGGAACGTTGTCGTTCTGGATTAATGTGCCTAGTGCAATGTAGCATCTCTGGTGCTTATGCACTACTGAGTACGGGGTCAGCTCTGTTGGTTCACTACCAGCTTCCAAAGTGCATACTAGTGGGAAGAACCCGCAGACAGGGGCCATCTCTGTCCATTCAAGTTGCATCCTCGTTGAGCCCCAAATTGTGCCCACAAAACACAAAAGGATGTAATTCAATCATTGAGAGGACTTTTCTAGTGACCAATTAGCATTTATCTGGGATTTGATTTGATATTTCATTCTTTTTCCTGTCATTTCTTGGTTGCCCTGCTCTTTGGAAAGGAAATGAAAATGCTGAAATTGGGTTGAAATTGGAAGTGGATGATGGTTTATACGAGGGTGGTTGGTTCTTGGATGGATTGAAGGAACCACTTGAGCATTGAGAACTTCCACCAGGGTCTCAAAGGTGCTGGCGTTCACAATAAGAGCTGCAAACCTGTATATATGCAGATGTTCCTACTAATCGATGGGAAGACATGTTCACTGATCAGACTTTCTTCCAACAAAGACCTTTTCTATCTACAATGATGGTAGAAAGCAACAAAATCTTCTCAATGATGCTTTACTAATGACGAACAAAGTGAGCCCAAAACTGCAGAGACGCATGAAAATGCGAGAATAAGGCGTAATGACACAAATAGTCCCTGAACTTTGATCTAATGTGTAATTTGATCCATGAACTTTTAATTTGTTCAATGTAGTCCCTAAATTTTAGTATAATGTTCAATGTGGTCCTTGAACTTTTGGTAGATGTTCAATTTAGTCCTTGAACTATATAAAAATGTTCAATGTAGTCCCTGAACTTGAATTAATGGAAGGGAGACATTGAACATTTTTATATAGTTCATGGACTAAATTGAACATCTATCAAAAGTTCAGGGACCACATTGAACAAATTAAAAGTTCAGGGACCACATTGAATATTATGTTAAAGTTTAGGGACTACATTAAATAAACTAAAAGTTTAGGAAGTAAATTGCCCATTGGGCCAAAATTCAGAGGTTATTTGTGTCATTTTTCCCGAGAATAACGAGCCATAGTACAGATGGTTTTCATTTCTTAATTGATGTTCGGCCGTCGGGTTCGCTCAGGACCATGGAACTTGTTCATTTTAATTTGCATCCTCGCAACCTTGATTATTTTATGGAAGTTGTCATTTTTCCAAAGAAAATCCATAAATCTGAACACAGAATTTTGTCTTTCCTCCACCATAACTCTCCTACCCGTAACTGGCCGGCCGCCGCCTTCCTGCCTAGCCTAGCCTCGGCGTCCCCGACTGTCGCCAAATTCCAACTTGAGGCTGGCAATGGTCGTTACCTCAAACATGGTCCAGATCAAGGTCGGGTGACAAAGCTCATGTGGTTGATGCGAGCTCTACCACGGAGGTCGCCAGGCTCACGCAAGCCCCCACTGCGGCCGAGCTCATAACTCACGATGGTGGCAGTGTCGTCGGGTGATGGTGGCAGCGTCGTCGGGTGAGGGAGAGGAAAGAGATGGGTGCCGAGTTTCAAGGTAAATGTGTCTTTTTAGTTTGGAGGAGATGCAAATTAGAGATTTTTAAAGAGATGGTAGTTTTTTATATATAAATGTAAGCTTTAAGATGCTTCTTGATCGCAAAGTTCATGGTCCCGGCTGTCAGTAAACCATCCATTTGATGTTTGAAGATATATTCATCGAATCATGGACACATGTTTCAACCATTACCAACAGAATTGTGCAATAGCACCGCAACAGAGATCACTAGAGACAAAAAGTTAAATGCCAGAACATGAGAACATGTAGAAACTACTACCATCACGGAATTCAACTGCAGGATTCAGATTCAAACATATCTCTGAGACTCTGAGTAAGCAATTCCAGAATGTTCAAGTACATTATTGTTCTGCATACTATGTTTAAAGGGACAGCAAAAACGGCATGAATCAAATCATGCCTCTTAACGTAACTTCATCGGTTCATCAGGCAAGCGAAAGTACTCACTAGCCGTAAAAAAACAGATACGACTAATGAAGAAACTACTACGTATCATCGTCCCCTGGCGAAGTACGCAACTGATGCTGCGGCGAACAGTGTGGTTGCCGAGGAAAGCAATGTCCAAATGCCCTTCTGCTTATGTGCCTTGGCTGCAGAGTCTTGCAGCAACTCATTCTGCCGCTTTAGATCTTCCACCAGGGACTCTTTGATCAGGAAAGCACTCTTGATGGCTTCTAATTCTCCTGCGAATGGTTGAAAATCTTCCTCGAGCTTCTGTTCTTCAGTTCCCTCTTCTTTACCATCTGCCCCGTCCTTAACCCGATTCGCTAGAGCTGCAGTTCTCTTCAAGATGGCCAAAGTTCGCTCAAACTTGATACCAGCAGATTTGATTTTCGCCTCCAAGTCTTCAATAGTTTGCTGTGCATCTATGACCTTCTTCTCAAGCAATTCCTTTTCTTTTTCAGACAACTCGAATTTGCTTTGCATATTCTTCTTCTCGAAAATCAATTCATCTCTCTCACTCCTGGTGTGCCCCAACTCCTCCATGGTCTCGTCAACTCTGCTCTTCGTTTCAGAAACTGTGGACCTCAAATTCAAGGCATTCTGTTTCTCCTCGTCCAGCGCCTTCTGGACGTTGTCCCTCTCGAGAGTGACTCGATCACAATCTTCTCTACAAGAGCTAAGTTCGGACAGCAGAGCCCTGTTCTTGTCCACTTGACTTCGAAAAGACGAATCCAACCCAGTAATCTCATTCTTCAGTTCACCAACCTCTCTGAGCAACCCAGCAATCTCATTCTGCTTACAATAATTCGCCTCCTCAACCTCGAGTTTCTTCCGAACTATCCCATCCATAAGCCGCACCTTCTCCTCCAATTCTTTCTCTGCCACCTTCAACAGTCTCTCCGCCGAATTGTTCTTTTCTCTGAGCTTCTCGATGGTCTCTTCCTTTTTCTGGTTTTCCTCACTCAAACCATTAATCCGGCCAATCATCTCCTTCTCCTTTTCAACCGCCGCGTCACATTTGTTCTCCAACTCGGACACCCTTTCCCTCAGTTCTCCCTCCTCTCTTCTCAAACTCACCTCAATCTCATTCAACACAGCCATTTCCTTCTCCAGTTCATACATCTTCACTTGCTGCCCATTTTTCTCCATCTCCAAACTCTCATTGACCCTTCCGAGTTCCTCAACTCTACTCTTCAGTTCGCCGGCCTCAATCCCGGCCAGCACCAAGCTATTTCTGGCAGAATCCCTTTCACTCATAGCCGCCTCAATCGCTCTCTCCCCTTCCTCTTTCTCTCTGACTAACTTCTCATTCTGCAACTTCAACCTCTCGAAACTCCCTTCCAGATTCCTCCTCACTTTCTCCATCTCACACAGGCCCTCCTTCAACAGGCTCGCCTTCTCCACCAAGCCCGCGCACTCCACCTTCAACGCATCCCTCTCGCTGCTCACGTCGTTCAAAACCGCTCTCTCCCTTTCGAGGCCATCGACGAGCTCGCTCACTCTACCCCTCAACCCCTCCGCATCCGCATCCGTCTGCTTCACCAGCCTCTCCACCCGAGCGCCGATTTCGGCCATCTGGGTCTCCAGGAAAGTGCAGATGACGCCCTTCTCCAGCGCCAGCACGACGCCCTCCCGGCCCGCCCGGCCCAGCTCGGCCTGCAGCGCCTCCCTCTCGCCGCCGGACCGGGCCAGCTCGCTCTCCAGGTCGTTCTTGGCGCGCTCCAGGGACTCCACCTGGTGCCTCCGGTCGGAGGTCTCCCTGAGGAGCATGGCGTTGAGGGACTTGAGGCTCTGGAGCTTCTCCGACGAGGGGTGGCGGCGGTCGTCTTGGTCCATGGTGGCGGGTTTGGGGTGGTGGAGGTGGTGGGTGCTGTCGCTGGGAGGGGCTCCTCCTTCTTCGTGGGTGTCTTCTTGAGGGTGGTGGTGCACCTTCTTCTTGGCCATCCTTGGCGTGCTTGTGGGGTTGGTGGGGTGGCGGGCTAGGGTTTTTGCTAGGGCGTCTATGGAGCAGAAGTGAGGGCGTGCGTTGTTGAAGAAGATAGGGAGGATGAGAAGTTTGAGGGGGGGAAGAGTTTTTAAATGGAGAGAGGGGGATGTGTTAGGTCATGGAAATTCAAATTCTTGGGGGCCCACAAATTGAGGGATTCTAGGGTTTTCTTTTGTGGGGTTGGGATGGATGTGGTTGGAATTGGAGATTTGTAATAAGTGCTGGTGGTGCATGAATTGAATTAGCCACCACAGAAATAAAATGTCGAGAAGGGAATGCCGGGATATTATTCTCGATCGAGATCTGTTTACTTGGTATGAATGTAAATGTAACTCGAGACGCTTTGTAAGTAATAGAGGAATCCGAATATGACACAATTTCGGTTGCCTAAATTTAAAATTATCGTGGGTTTAATATCGGCATGAATGTATTATGAGCTCGTGATTATGTCAAAGTCGAAAAAGTTATTGATTATAATTAGGGTTTTAATTCGTCTATTGGATCTTTCTGACGAATTTTTGGTGGCCACGGATTACTTGCCTTTGAACCAAAGCCAAAGAAAAAAAAGGAGTTTCTTGTGAGAACCTTACAATCACTCCCTTGTGTTTTGGTTGCCACTCAAATAAAAAGCATTTTCTTTTACCTAATTATAATACCCATGAAAAAAAAAATAATGCCCATGAATAAATCTATCTCTCAACTAAAATCAAAATAGGAAAAAAATAGGAGAAGAATCTCTCAAGAGAACATATCAGAAGGATCACTCAAATTATCCGAGAAATCTGATAGTTTAATTTGAAAGACAATGACTTGTACACATGTAGCGAGTGGGTCAAATGCTCCTCAAAAGTCGTATCTAATTAACTCCTAAGTCTCCATCTTTTTTTTTAGGTACATTTGTTTCGCTAAAAATGAATTTCATACATTTTTTTTGTAACACTTACAAACATGAATGAAAAAAATATTTTCTTCATCCACAGATATGCTTAGACATAAATTGTTGTCGATAATTTTCATTTTTCATTGCTAATTATTTTCAAGCAATACGAGCAATCAAATTCAGAAAAATATTTTACAAATCATTTATTTTCCGTCGAGATTCATTAGTACCCGTCTAACCAGGTCTTGTGCCATATACATCAGCAACCGATGAAGACATTTCTGCCAATTCTAGGAAACAAACTGTAGTTTTCATGAATATTTTTATCCACTGAATTAACGGCAAAAATGGGTATTATTATTCATTGGTCCATCTTGCTCCCAAATTCGTGTGATCTTGGTGGCTGTACACGTTCACTCGGATATCTCTGGATCTCCTCGTTCACACCCCATTGGCCCACGAAAATCCAATCCAATCCCATGACCAGAAAGACTCGTTTACCAGACATTCTGGATCGATTTTGTGCATCCCATGAAGGGTCTGCATTATCATTAAACTATAAATAAATCCACACAAGAAAATGAGATAATCTTTACATTTCGTGGGCTCGTGGCCACCCATTTTCTCCCTCTTTCCCCTTTTTCCGTTTTGAGAAATGTCTGATTGGGTGCTGATTTCGAACCTCTTCATTTCCTGGTATTATCTCCAAAACTGTGGGATTCATTTCTCTTCCTTTCGAAACATGGAGTTCCTTCCCATGATGAAATGGTATGACCCACCATCAAATAAAGAAAAAATCAAAATGGATGATCCCAATGTACTTCGGGTCCGTTTATTTTAAGGAAATTTGTTTCCGGGATTTTGTTTTTCGTCATTCGGGTGTTTCGATGGCGGAAAATTAATCGATCCACGAAGAACATTTTCAACAGAAAACAAGAAGTTTGAATTGGGGGAAAATGACCCAAAAAACCTCCCTATCTGCCTAAGCTATAAAATAGGTGAAGACTAATCGTTTTTCTTGAAAAATGATTTTCATGAAATTTATTTTCCTTTATCATGAAATTTTCAGTAAAACAAGCACATCTTTAACGACCATCTAAAACGAACACACCCTTAATGATTTTCAGAATTGCATAACAAACCCAGCTCACAGAGTTTGGTGCACCTACCCATTCATCGCAGTTGGTATATAAACTTTGCACATTCAAATCCCGCCACAAAAAATTCAAATAAGCACATTTACCCTCCCCTTTTCCTTTTTCCTCTTATTCCTTTTCCCCCTTTTTTCTTCTTTTCAAGAATGAATAATGTTACAAAAGCGTACGAACAACTGTTCACACCAATTGATTTTTTTTTTTTTTGTGATCATCCTTCCCAACTTTACAGTATTTACATGATGAGAATTAGAAGAATCAAATCTGGGCTCATATACAGCGACACCAATGCCATCGGATTGAAGTCGCTTCACTTGTCTCCGTCAGTTGTAGTGAACGAGCGATACAGTCTGTCGGCCCGCTTCCAATGAATAGTCCAATCAGCGCGTCCGGATCATAGAGATTATTATGAGGTCGAACACGCGATGGATAACGTCAACCTGCAACAACGACCAAGGGATTGCAACGGAATCAGCAACACGAATACGATTTGGTATATGCAGCCGCGATTCATGACGGGTTCATCCGTGTGCGCTGTGCATGCTAAAATAAAAGCTCAAATGGAACAAGACGCTTAACAGGACAGCATAATTACCAAACAGCAAGCGGCAAGCAGAAACATATGGATCTAGCTAAATATGCGGCTATCGACATCTCTCACGCTTCAACATAAAACCACGTCAGAATGGAACACAGAGAGAGAGCTGAAAGATAACACGCACATTGACTTTAGCAGAAGCTGGCTATTTTTGTTAAATTCAATGGGAATTGCAAAATGAGTAACATCATATAGCACATAATAAGACAGTCTCCTACCTTCTTCAGAAAAGGCGAAAACTCCTCCAAGCATGTCATCATTATCACCATCTTCTTCAGATTTCTCTCTTTCACAGGGATTGCCGTTACTATCGACATCAGCAACTGCTTCACCCGAATCACAGCATTCATTTACAGCTGATGCTCGGTAGTATCCCTCTTGGAAATACGGCTCAAATTCCAAAGAACCATTTATCAGTCCCTCATCCATAATGTTCACACTAGAATCAGAACGGTTAGAACTCGCGTTGGAAACTTCACTATCCCCACCACTATTTGATGGCTTAAAACCATCTGCAGTGCTTCTTTGAGCAGGAAGAGAGCCACTCGGCAAAGATGACGCAATGTTAGGGTATTTACAATCTGCAGGGTGTGAACCCAACATATAATGCTCAGAAGAAACCAAAACATTATCTTTATTAAGGGAACTTTGCTTCAGCAAGGCTGGGGCTAGACCACAATGTCCGTTCATTACGTGATGATTCTTAAGCTCGGACGGTACAGTGGCCCGATAAGGGTGCTGTGAACATCCTGATAAAAAGTGTAACAGAGATTAGTTCAATGCATCAGGAAATCACTCAAACACATACGAAAAATATAACCCCTGACATCTCTCTCACCAGCATCTGAGTTTTCCACTGAGCTATCCAATTTAGGGTAGGATACAACTCCATTCTCAAAGGATTTCTCCTTGTCCATGTTAAAATAGGAAGGAGAACATGTGCCCCCATTGAAGCCCCTAAATGAAAGCAACTCTGCTATCAGCAGTAGTAATAGAAAGTTGGCAGCAGGTATTAATGACTACTCATACAGCTGAAACATATTATGTCAAATGATGCATCCCCAGAAAAGCTAAGGGCCTATATGGAGTATGCTATGAAGGTCTCATCTCCAGTTTGGATAACACCCAACACAAAACTTAAAAGACAACAGACCATATGGTCCTTTGGCCTCTTTCTGCAATGCCAGAACAGTTTCAGCGTAGCATCGTTCTAGGAATCACTTTCACGCCCTAAAGGCAATATCTAACAATGCAAGACCTTACCTTTACACAGACAGTTGCGAATATGCAAAGCCCCATTATGAATTTCTTTCCTTCTATCTTGACTTTCCACTAAAATTCCTTTCAAAGTGAAAAGCAGCAACTAAATTTTTCAAATGACCACCAAGGCCAAAAAACTATGTTCCTAAAGGACACAGACGAACATCATCTAATAGAACAAAATATTTCCATCCTTGCACATGGTAACTTATAATGCTTGAAATGAGTAACAAGGGCAAGCTAGTAAATTCTAAAAGCAAGAGGATTAAGCTCGCACAATACTAAGTGTATCGCAGACGCCTCATTTACAGTGTACAGCATCATCCATTAAATAAGAGATAATGTAAAACAAATGTTTAAAGTCCAAACAAAGGGCAGCAAAATATAATAAAGGTGCTAACAAAGCTTTTATTACAGTGACCCTAAAGAATCAACCAAATAATAAGAGCATGGCTATGACTTGGCTTCAGAATTCATGAGAAAAGATAATAGAGCCATTAATTAACTAGTACCATTAATTGACAAGTGAAGATGCTACCACGAAGTGGGGCCGGCTGACAATGATTGTGTTGATAGTTAATAAAATTACAGCACACCATTGACTGGCCCTTACCTTTCACTCCAAGCGGAATGATTACGCTGAAAATGATCAAAAACAGGCAATAAATCCTTTCGCCGTATTTCAATCTCATGAACAGGAACCTTTTCTATTTCTACTTCACCAGCAAAATCATCTTCAATGAGGATCTGCTCTTCAGCTCTCTCATGACCTATGGCATGGAAATGTATCTGCAAATAATGGGTATATGAGTATAGCCGATGACATCAACAATGCAAACTTCACCTTATCACAAATACCTTAGATTGCTGCCATATTGGAATCCTTCCAAAGCTCATTTGTACCTCAGCATTGGCTATATACAAGTGAGAATGCTCATATGATTTTTCTGATTCTTTGTCCCCAGCATTAGTGTCCTCAGAATCAGACATATCCATTACAATCTCAGAAGCTTGTCGGTCAGGAGCAATCCCAGAAACGCATTCTTCTCTTTCCGGCCAATCTGATCTTCGGCAGACATCCCACCACTGAAGAGTTTCAACTTTGACCCGCAACTCTTCATCTTGAATCTGCAATGGAGAACTTGGCGCAATTCGAGAAACAGCCTCACTTGATTCCCCTCCCACTGGTGGAAGCAGCTCATACTGAACTAAGTGTCCTGAAGGAGAGTAAACCAACAAGTGTTCCAGAGCTTGAGCCTTCGACTGGGAGGCCGGAAGATTCCGCGCTGTAGAACTGTAAAAAATGGTAGCAACTGCACCAGATGGGACAGAAACCTTTCCAGTCGCAGATGATGCAGCATTACTGACCGTATGAAGCCACCCAGTGTGGCTATTCTTTATTCTGCTAACTACATAAAGAGTAATGGGAGGTGGCGGTGGAGTTGGAGTAGAAGACTGATGATTAATCATGAATGATGGAGTAGACCACCACGGTAGAGATAAAGCTGGTGAAAGGGTGGGTTGGCCAACATGAGAATTATGCATCTGTAGAACAGTCTCACCACCAAAAGGGGATAGAAGAAAAATATGACAAGTTCCCTTGGAAGAGACAATAGCTATCCACTGACTGTAATGGCTAAAACAAATGTCCTGTATAACCTGTAGCAAAAAAGAAAACATGAAAAACTGAGGAACATGACCATCGTCAAGCACGATTGCTGGGAGAACTTACAGCTGAAGTCATGCCACGATGTAGCTTGTAAAGATGCACATGTGAAGAGCTCCATTCATAAGTTTGAGTGCCTGATCCAGCTTTCGAGCGACATGGCATAATGCGGAAGATATTGATATGAGTCCCATGAATTGAAGCTGTCACCAGCATTGTTCCACTTGGATCAAAAGACAAAGCAGAAATAGGACTAGAATGAGCTCTGAATTGCGATACAATAGCTTTGGAAACAACATCCTTGACAACCACCTGCAATCAGCAGTCAAATGTTACAAATAATCAAACCACCAAAAAGCTATTAGAACAGTATTTAAAAGAATAACCTTTTCATAAAAGTTTTCCCCAACAAAACTTTTACTATTCTGTTGCTACCCTTACCATGAAGCTGCTGATACACCATGAAACTTACCTCCTCAATGGCAAATAAAAATCACATTCAACAACTCAAAAGTCTAAAGCACAATATGCGGGTTAATAAACAGTGTTTCCATGTAATATTGTACACCTACAATACAATAAATGGATTAAGTTTGGAGAAGCAATATCACAGCTTCTTCAATCACATTTCAAAAGACTAACCATTCCAGCAACATCTGTTTCACTTGGATGAGGTTGAGCTCGGACAGCTTTCCAGCTTGAATTCGAAGGTACCGGAGAACTTGATCCATCAGGGATGAGCTCTTGATAGTACCTAGACAAGGTCTTGTAGCCCATGTCACTGAGGTTGATCAGGCCAGTAGCCAACTGCTTACTGGATTCCATGGCATACCGTGCCATCAGACTTCCACTGCTGGGTGAAGTAGATGGGCTAACACCGGGAGAAGGAGTAAGACTTTTTGGACTAAGGCGGCCTGTGTTTGACGTCACTGGGCTGTTAGAAGCATAAGCTAGCCACCGTGAACCAACATCCATGGGGCCATAACCAACATTGACTCCCATACTTCCTAGCCCTCCCAACTGAGGCACTGGATATGTAAGGACACTAAATCTATTCTCAAGAGTGAGTGCATCGAAGCAGTATATCTGTCATCCAAATACGCAAAAAAATTAGCAAGTCAAACTTGTTTTACAGTAGGCGCAGGAATAAATAACTATGCCTAAGGGAAGATCTTTTCCTTTCAATTTCTTATTGCCCCACCCAAAAGCACTCCAAGTAAGAAAGTTGCATATAGAAAATAACGCGAAAATTCTCTTCAGAAAAAAATGTCTTTGACTACAAGACGTATATGACAGCTAATGCTTACTTGTGCAGCAAGACCCACGGCAACAACTCGAGAACTGCATCTGACCATATACACTGTTGACCGGAATCTGAGAACATGAACATAACTGTGAGACCTGAGAGAGTAAAAGCGAACTGCAGTGGGAGCCAGAATTAGGTTCCCACTTTGATCCTCGGTATGGCCGTTGTGAAAACCTTCCCTCCCATTTTGCATTACAACCGAGCTCTTTGATTCATCACATGCCACCACCAAAAGTAGAGGGTGTGATGCCCTGAATCCTTCACAGCCCTCAGACTTTGCAGGAAGGGGTTGCATCTGTAAAAATGTAACCGGCTCATCTCGCCTTGAAACAATTTCACTGACATTAGAGGCATCTTCAACATCAAGGACTTGAAAACCATTTGAATAGCCAAGCAATAGAACGTGCTTGAAGACAGATGAGCCAAGTTCTATCCTGTCAAAGCCAGCCCAAAGCACCTGGTTGGCAGAATGAGAAATTTAGACCATGTTTGTACGGAGCCAATGACAAGCAATCAACCTAAAACAAAAGAAGTATATCCTATCCTACTTGTGATCAGGTAAACGTAAGGACAAAATATTGCGAACACATACATCAGTTCGGTTCACAGATTCATTATTTAGAGAGTACACGGATTTGACTATCAGTCAGAAACTAAGAAAGGGATCATGTCCTGTTCAATGCACAGAAAGAGAGAATAACAAATATAACGAAATAATGAAAACGACGAATTCGTACATGAATGCAATCCAACCGAAAGATATTTTTTCGTAAGGTCTAGCCCAATCAAATACCCTCGTGTCACGGGCCGGCTATACTGCGGCCAAGGATTTGCCGGCCCGTGACACTTGTCTCCATGGTAATTCTGAGCTAAATTTACTATTGCATCTACCGATACGCTCTAGACTTAGAGGTTTCTTAGTACGAAAACGAGCTTCATAAATCATAAATCCCAAAAGGAAGGCAAAAATCTTCACAATTCTCACAATTTTTCCTTTTTCTCCCACTTGACATGAGAATCTAAAGCATCAAATATATTCCTAGAATTTTCATATCATTAAATTAGCCATACAGGAAGTTTCCCACATCTAGACACAGTCAGATATAGCAAGTTGATAAAAGAACGCTAGCCAGAATATATTAAAATAATGATGAGGTAAACAAGAGAAGAGCTGTTCATTGAAACTTCTATCTCTTCTTTGTGAAAGTAAAGATCATCTTCATTTCATAAATATAAGAACCTCTCTCTCTCTCTCTCTCTCTCTCTCTCTCTCTCTCACGCACATGCACACGCACAGAGCTGAATGCAAACCGACCACACGAAAATCTCGTTTTCCTCCTCATTAATTTTCTAGTAAGTAGATAGAGCCTTGGATGCGAGTCAGTCGGCAAAAATGACAAATCTTAGCCACGATTGAGCTAGCAAAATACCACACCCCATTCAAAACACAACTTCGTTGCAGAACGAGTATCAGAAAGAAGACTCCCTTTCAGTGGACTTCATCCAAGACTCCCTAGATAACCAGAAAGGTGCACTACTGAAGACTAAATTACATCTATTGCAGATTCCCACATGCCCACAAGATGGATCTACACTTAATTCCTCGAGAACAGATCGAAAGTCAATTAAGCTTTATAACAGCACGGTAAAACGATCTCCCGGGATGTTCCCAAGTCAAATGATCAAAGTTTCATACGCACGGTATGAAACACGAGTGTAATCACTAACCATCGACTCCCATTAAATCATCCACATTTTCCTTTACCGAGAAACCGAACACGAGAGCTCAATAGCTGCAACTAAAGATCAAACCTAAATGAGAGCCACAAACAGCGAAAATTCAGAACCGAACAACTGTCCAACAATTCATAAGACCTCTAATTAAGTCTTCGCACCGAATAGTACAACTCTCGAAAGTCATGCGGCATCAGTCCGAGCAGCCGAATCAGTTCAACGTCGATTCATCGGAAAGTCATGAACAACAAGAAGTAACCGATTACTATCATCATAAACCTAAAACGCCCAAAAACGATTACTCGAAAAATCCCAACTAATCGCGCATCATCGAGTGACCACACGCATCCCCTCGCGACACAGGACGAAAACCGGAGAGAAACCTGATCTTTGCGGTCGTGAGCCTCGCCGGAGATCGAAGCGGCGGCTGACCTGACGCCGGACGACGCGGTCTTGATGCACGAGGAAATGAACTTCAGAGAGTTAGGCAGGAATCGATTCGTAGCGCCGCTGCTCTTGTGGTTGACGAAGCTACCGTTGGCCTTGGCGCCGTAACTCTTCATAATCAGATCGACGGAGCCTCGGCTGTTCGTCGCCGGCGACCGGGGAGCTACCGGGGAGCGCGATCGCCGAGGGGCATAAAGGGGGTGGACGCCGGAGAGAGAGGGGAGGGAGGCAGCGGCGGCGTCGTCCCGAGGCCGTACGATCGCCGGAGAATCGGATCGGCGCGGCGTTCGGCGGTGGCGTGTTGGGCCTCCTCGCGGCGGCGGCGGGCGGTGGCGGTGGTTGGTGTTTTGACCTTTAACCGAGACGGTTCCTTTTGGTCTGGCTTTCGTTTCTCTCTCTATATGAACGTCTTGTTCTCTCTCTTCTTTCTCTCTCTTCTTTCTCTCTCCTCCCGTCCGCCTGGTGTTAATTGCAGCACAAGCAAGTGCCGGAGAGTAGATTTTTTCTTTGCAGATATGCCCCTGGAGTTTTCGTTATTCTCACTCCAGTCCCATTTTGCAAGTCTGCCGGTTTTGATTGTGTAGCTTTTGGTGAGCTCATGATCTATAAAATTGGATGCTCTATCTTCATTTCAATGTTTGGGGAAGTAAAATTTGATTGTATCGCAGAAGTCGTAATGAAGACAGATGAACCGCACGGAATGAGCGATCGTTACTTGAATGGCGTGGGAATCCATTGATGGGATCGATAGGCGAAACGAACAGTTTTGGAAGGATTGATCGCTACCTTTCTCTAGGCACCGGATGTGTTTCATACGGAGCATCTCAGGCAAGGAGGATCTCGAGATTTGACCCAAAAATGAATATTTTTTGATGTTTAAGCTAACGATGGATTCCGAGGGCAAGAGCAAATTAAATATCCCAAGGGTCAAGAAAAGTGAATGTGCAGTCCTCCACGACGGCATAGGAGGCTTGTGCTCCAGGTTCGAAGTATAATCAGCCTTTCTTTGTTTTTTTTTTAGACACATCGATCTCGATAGAAGGTATTTGCATTTGCAATTAGGTTAGACTTACCGTTAATCTTTGCATGCATGCATTGAACCAACATATACATCGCATTCGCTCCATAACAGTCAAATTTACAATTGCCCTTTCCAGAACCGGCCGACATAATAATTGCGCATTTTTTTAGCGTGACGTCGCGATCTCCCGACTGGGTCTCCTCTATTGGTAAGGCAGTGTGTATATCTGGCATGCACAGCACACAAAATGGGCATATATTCTATTGTCATCGCAGAATAATCATTCAACTCTTTTTCCTCTTTCGATCATAATCCAATCAAAACTTCTCGAATCATCTCAAGACTCGAGACGGGCAGACACAAAACGTCGCTCTCTAACTCAGAACAAATCGAAAGGGAAAACGTTACCATTCCTAATAGGGAAGAGGGGTCGGATTGAAAATACCGGGGACGATGTCGGGGTCAATACGAGATTTTCCGAAAGTGCAGGGGGGGGGGGCGAAAATAGAAATACGGAGGACAAGGGGTTACGTCACGACAAGGGATGAGAATATCTGGGAGCGAGATGCCGAACCAGAAATTTGATTTCACGGGGGGATATGGTCGTCCTCCCTCCTTTAACTGTCAAAGTCCCGGTCGAGATGTTTTCTCGTCCTTTTCTTTCTCTCTCTCTCTCTTTCTTTGCCCCCTATTTTTCATATTTTCTTACCAAAAATGGGAAAAAAAATACATACATACATAAATGAATATATCTAGTAATCGAATCGGATTAGTTAAATAACTATCCAAATCAACGACGATAGATGTTTTGGGATCTGGGTATCGGCTGAAAATGCCATAATTGCGCAATTTGTGCTGCTTGTGGTGGATTGATGTGTGCGCGCGAGTTCGTGTTTCTATCGTTCGGTCGATGAATCGGGTCTCAAAACCTTGCTGAAGGGGTCATATACATCGAACCGGGACTGCGTATTTTCTCCTGCTTGTTATTCCTGTTATTCTGCCTAAATTGAAAGACATCAGCTCGTTAGCAAGATTGCAAGATTGCTATTTTAGTATTGGGTTAATACCATGAAAAACTGGTACATCTATAAATAAATTTACCAAAAATTACTTTTTTAACCACCAAAAACTCCAGATCGGTATACTTGTGACAAATTTACCCTCCGTTAAATTGGATTAATACCACCACGAAAAATCACAAATTGGTAAATCTGTGACAAATAAAAGGGAAAAACCGTAAACTGGTACACCTGTCAACTATCACGTGTTATCCAACTCCGCAATTTGACAGTAAAATTTAATAGAAACTAACAGATGGTAAATTTATCATAAGTGTGCCAATTTGGGGTTTTTGGGGGTCAAAAAATTATTTTGGGGTAAATTTATTTACAAATTTACTAATTTGGGGTTTTTCGGGATATCAACCCTTCAATATTTGTATTTGTTAGATTAATAGAATCATTAATCATCAATTATTATTCTTCGTTATCATACCATGCTTATTTTTTTCCCAGTTTATCGAATGTCTCCGGAAAGACTCGATTAATTTATCAGGTAATTTTGGACAAGGTACCAAAAATTCGCTATCGTCTCACACCTCGTGTTTTTCCCTTTTTGGATATTGGGTACTATTAAGTCAAAATTCACAATAACTAATTTTTCTATATGAATAATACCTACCATTATAAAATTCCTTAGAAAAAGAAGAAGAAAAAAAGAGATAAAGCTCGGTACATGCAACGTAGACAGAAAGGCTGATTACACGGCACGTAGTATGATAATACTAGCCACAACTAACAAAGAGGTCTCCCATCACATGAAAAGATACCTTCTTATATATGTATTCATGTCAAATAACGACCTAAATAAATTTGTATAATAATGGCAAATCATAGAGTAAGTTGGCTTTTGTTTTGTCAATGGAGAGAGAATTAGGGCAAACGAAATTTAAAGCAAAGAAAGCGAGCAGCGCAAGAAAGACGAACGGTATGATAACCGAGTTATTTTCGCAGCTATTAACAAATTGGGCACGTCGGATCACAAGGTATAGATAAAAAAGAAAAATGTAGAAATGGATCGGAGAAAATAGCATCCGAGGATATGGGAAGTAGCGTATCCCGTGCTCGAATCCCGGCGTTTCCGACTCAAAGTAACCCTGAAATCGGGCTAGCAAAATTTCCTTAAATGGAGCCGTATCTGGCATGCGTAGACCGGGCAATCTTCGTGTATGCATAAAGATCAGTCGAAATCGACGGTCCAATTTGCTTACGTGCGAAAAAATGAAATAAAATAAAATTTCGCAACTCATGAATGTGGGAAGTGAGAGGAAATTAGAAGTTTTGATGTCGCCAAATGCCCTCTTTTTGAGCTTCATTGCCAAGAATGGGATGTGGATTGAGGTGGGTATTGGCTTCACATGGTTTCCCCCAACAACATTCCCCCAATTTGCTCATCACCACGTGCTCTATCTCCATCCATTTGTGCTACGACTCCCCGTTTTGGGCCTCTATGTGGCCATGTGCATTTTGAGGGGGGTATGTCCATTTCTATCTCTATTTCAATGTCAATTCACCACCACTAGTGTTAAGATGGTTAACCACCCCCTTTTTTTTTTGGTCAAAAAAATTTCGGTTCGTTACCAAAACGATACATGAAAAGATTTATAGGGAAAATCATAGAAATCGCTACAACAAGACAAGCTCATAGAGCTGCAGAGCAAACTAAAATCCAGAAAGTCAAGGTATGTCTTCGTAGCAGGTCGACAGAGGTAAGCACACGCTCGTCTTTCAAGAACAAATCCGTGGCTGCATCCAAGCAAGAGGACCGACGGCCGATCACCGAATCACATATCATTATTAGTGATGAGCACACGTCGGGATCTCGATCTGTAACTACGGCTCTGCCTGTTAGTGGTGTGCGGCTAGGTTCGGTGGCCCAACAACCATCACCGTACGGAGACGACAAAACACGTTGATTAAGCTCTAATCCGACACCTGTGAGAGTGAACCCTTTTGCAAGTGTGAAATGCCAGAGCTTCTAACAAAATCACGTTTTTTTTTGGAGCCTTAACAAAACCACGTCGAACGAGCATAGATCTGACATCGGTGCCGGTGGGAACACCATTGAAACTGGAGGCGGAATACTTATTCATTAAAACTCCTATATCTAAACTTGGATTGGGAGAGTAAAGGAAGAAATAAGAGAAAATAGAAGGAAATACAACCAAAGAGGGAGGGAGGGAGGGAGAGATCTAGGTCAAATCCCTTCCCTCCGAAAGTTGAAGATGGTTAATTTAAGTCGTAATGATATGGCAACTAGAAAAAAATAAAAACTGTTGCATCGTAGAGTCCATAGTGTTCACTAAGTTTCCAACCCAAAATTCTAAGTTTTAACTCGTGTCCGAAATATTCTTGGCTTAGGTTCAATTTCGCGAGTTCGGCTCGTTCTATAAAATTTGACTAGCAGAAACTCAATTATTGGCTTTTCACTAATTAGGGTGTCGAATCGCGATTCTACAAAGCCGACTTGATTGGGTAGGTTTTTAGGTTATCTTTGGAAAGTATACCGTCGATTCCCGGTTTCAAAATTACGAAATTTATCACGTATATATGCTTCGCGCATTGCATTCTCTCGTATAGGATACCTAGCTAGTGCCTTATAAAAAAAATATAATTGTTAGCATACGGACTTGATTAATTATATGTGTCGACTTAATAACGGTAATCGCGTTGTTAAATGTCATATATCAATACAAGCATTTAATGTACTATTTGATCGACTAGTCTCGCTCACGTTAAGAGTGCGAATATGGAATTTATAAACATGAAAAGGTGTTTATTTTCCTTCCTTTGCAATTTTAGCGGTCTTATTTTTATTACTCTGATTGAATTTGATTTGTCAATTAAAAGGAATGGATCGAATTGAATCGATGGTTTTAGACACTAAAGTACATGGCTGGAAATTAAAATGCGGGAAAGGTAAATTTGCTGGAAATTAGAGATAAACATATACTCGCAAAGAACATAAAGTTACGTGATTGATCGAGCGAACCATTACACAAGGTACGATACAGGTATTCATGACCCACCATCGATGGTAACCTATAAGAAGCTACTAATTTTGAATTTATCAATAACTTCCCACACCGTGTTATCAATTTTCCTATAGCGTCGGCAGGTTGCTCGTTTCCCGATTACCTTGCTCTCCGACGACTTCTGTCTCGACCCAACTTAGCTCCGGTCAACCGACCTTACCACCTCTCGATAAGAAAGAGTCGGGTCATTTTTCGGGGTCGACGCGTACAATCAAGACCAGTCAAGACCAATCCATCTCGTATTAAATGTACCTAACACGAATTTTCAAAGGCTCTTTTAATATTCATCCTGGACATCATTGTCTCCAACCTGGTCCAACACGAGGCCAGGACGCTGGTCCGCAAATTGGACGTTTGCTTCTTGTTGTGTTAAGAGGGGCAAAAGGCCGTGGGAAATGGGAATTGGGTTTACGGCGCCAGTTATTGCAAGTTTAAGGAACGCAAGTGGATTGCGTACAAGTTATATTATTCGAGGCTTCTGCAAGGCTACATCTACACGTCTGCAGACCCAACGCACCGTTTTCAGCACCGAAAGTGTTTTGCCATTCTACCTGCGTAATCCTTTGTACTAGAGCCAGTTGGATCTAATCAGGATCGTGTGTCTAGTTGGCTTAGGTTGGAGCAATGATTAGTGACAAACATCGGTCGATCTCTTGACGTTAGGGGTGAGCAACCGGGCTGGTTTAATCTGAGGACCGAACCGAATTGGTCTAACTCGACCGGTTCGCACGGGGATCGAGTAGGTTCCCGGATAGAAAGTTGGGTGACCGGTCTTGACGGGTTCGGTTTCTGGATTTATACCGTGAAACTTTGGTTCTATCCGGTATAGTAGTTATATTACTTAATGACTATGCCATAAATTGTTCACATGATATGTTGTCCTGAAATAATAGTTATGTTAGTTAAAAGCTCGGCCCAGTTTCAGGATCAACCATAGATTGGATTCCCGATCCCAAAATTGGGAATCGACTCTAACAGAGTAAATTCTAGGTTCTTAATCCGGAACCTACCTAGTTTTGAACGAATCACCCCTTGATATCGGCACTCAGCACTTGCAATTAAGAGTTGGCTATTTTGTTTTGTCGGCGGTTGGAGTCTTGGAGATGGTCACTTAATTCTTTCAGATAATATCACAATAAAAAGAAAAATTATAACTTTGAGATTTTGGTATGTCGTAAGGTGACTTCGAATTTCAAATGTTCATCGTACGGAAGGCAGATGTCATTTATAGGAAAGTGCATTCATGCACTTGCACGCCTTAAAATCCGAATTGATAAAGAAAAGTGTGGAAGCAAATGCAATTGCCAGGACTTCGTGATGTTCAAGGTTCCAGATCAATGGCGGGCCAAGAAGGAAGCAACATGCCGATTGCTGACCAATTTGCCAAGGTTGAAATTAAAGCTAAAGACTAATAGAGATGAGAAATCCAGAGTCTTGATAGGACTAAAGACTCTTGTTCGGGTTATTGCGGCCCAATCCTACTCGGACTCGACGGGGTCTGGAAACACTGTTGAAGCCAACCCACATGACGGTTTGCCCTGTGATCACGATCGAGTACCACGACAATCGTCATCTGAGTGTTAGCAGGGTCGACGAGTCATTGGATAGATATTAGCTGAATACATACTCCAATCACATAAGATGCTTCTCCATCGTTCCTGGAATTTCCCATCATATGCTCTCTTTCTTCTTTTAGGGTTCCAAATAGCACTTTAAATTTCATTTAAGTTTCAACGAATTCCACGAGCTCGCTTTCAATGATCGATGAATACGACACAATAGGCGAATTAGATGTATAACACATCGTCCATCCTATCATGCGCAAATGATCCTTGGATTTATGTCTGGAAACCTAGATTTTAGCTCACATCTTACTTGGGCCGTCTATTAAGGATTCACGAACTTGAGTTTACTTATAATAGGCTTCTTCGGCATATAAAAGAAATCAAGAATATGCTTGATATAAAATTAGTCGATTTTTATAAAAGAAGCCCCTTGTCCTCTTGCCCACCCATCTCTTGAAAAGGTTCCGATTGGGCCCGATCCGACCCAACTTGACGGGCCTAGAAATATTGTTCAGGCCCGCCCAAATGCTAGCAGGCCCGTGATCGGGTATGGGGACGGCAATTACCTGAAAATGGGATGGTCAAGGAGAGATCATGGACGTGTACTATGTTAGTAGAAAGGTCACAAGTCAGTCATAAGATTCTAATCTTGCTCACTAATTGCCAAAGCTTATTAATTACTTTGCATTATTTAGGTAGGCGATCTAAGACACCGATTGGATTAGATGAGTCTATTGCGGTTCATTTGTCATGCAATCTTCATCCGACGGATGGAGTGGAGGCTCGGCTCTCTCTTAAGATGGCAACTTCATATTTCATTCTTTTTGGGATAAGTGGATTGGAAGTCTTAAAACTTGTCGAGAAAGTGCAATAAAGTTCTAAGTACAATCGAGTCTTAAAACTTATCACGAGTCCAAAAACTTTCAAAAAGTGCGATCAAATCTTAAAACTCATCACTAAAGTGCGATCGAGTCTTAAAAATTTTAAGACTTGATTGCACTTTTTGAAAGTTTTAGGATTAATTCGCACTTTTGCTACAAGTTTTAGGACTTGATTGCACTTTTATGACAAGTTTTAGGACTTTCAATGCATTCGTCCTTTCTTTTTTTAATAACCGGGGCACGAGAGCATGGCCCTTGCTATCTAAAGACTCGTGTAACAATTCGTCGACTTCCCGCTCTCGAACCGAAAATCCCCCTACACCTCAGCAGATGTACACGATCCGGGGGGATCAAGATGGGAACTTTCAAAGAACTGAAGTATGTTCTGATGAGCAGGCCAGACCCGGTCGCCGTTCCTCCTGCTGTTGTTTTTCCTCGTCGTGGACCCATGAAAGGTTTGCAGCCTGTAGGGTCCCCCCGCTCGTCAGAGCCAATTTCACACGATTCTCACGTTGTAAAGTCTCTCCTGTCCAACGCCCAGTTCGGACACGAACCTCATCCGACAGTCAAACTCCCATCTCACACCCCTCCTCTTTTTTATCATCTGCCTAGGCTCAGATCCCTACTCGTTTCTTTATTCATTCCCATCGATGACTACCGATCCTGCTGGGCCCAGAAGCCAGACCGTTCTGTGCCTGTTGAATAAGCCGAGAAACCGACCGTTTTAGACAGACATCTTTCCCTGTTGTAACTACATTTCAAGATCTGTCTGTTTTCCATTTGTTCTGGTCTGTACCCTCCCTATCAGTATTCCCGTCTCTCCTTCTCCTCCTCCTTTTTCAAGGTTGCTTTCATCCTCTTCACTGAGACAACCGTGATGGTGAAACCGCATTACTGCCCTCACCTGATAAAGTGAATATCGGACTTTAGGGTCAACTGAAAAGCTGAGGGCTTATGGGTTCTTTCCCTCTTGGACCCCGTACCTAATTCAGTCACCTAAATTTACGTATATGCATACTATGTCACTGTCGTCGACCAGGACGAGGGGGCCAGGCTGCCGAGGCTCGACTCGAGCCCGAGCCTCGAATCTCCCCGCTCGGCCTTGGATTTGGGTTGGTCCGAGGTCGACGGCCCGGATCGGCAATGGTCGAGGGGAGTTAACTCAAGTCTAGAAAAAAAGGAATAGGCAAAGAGCGAAGCGAGCCACACGCTGAAGCAAAGAATAAAGACAAAAAGAAAAATGAATGAAGTACAAAACTAAACAAAGCATATGCGGCTATTGGCTGCTAAAATTTCTCATGCAGCCGTCTCTGCGATACCTTCCCCCATCCGAAAGTCCATTTCTTCGTACCCATCTACCTCTCTCTCCAACACGCTGTCCTTTATATGCACTCGCAGCTGATTCTTGCCACCTTCATTTTGGGCAAATTTGGCTCTCCACGAGAGCTTTATGGTAAGAAGGAAACATGGGGAGAGAGAGCCCGGAAGAAGATGGGTTGCCAACGAGCTCTCTGCTTCTCAAAGAAGTCCCTGGCTATGGCAACCGTGGCAACTCCTTGTCTTCAAGTGATCCCTCGGTCACGCCTCTCGTCGTTTTCAGCACGCTCGTTGCCGTTTGCGGGTCTTTTGTCACCGGGTGTGCTGTGAGTACTATTGCATCAAACTTCTCGTGAATTGCTTGCATGTAGTTCCATCACTAAGAACCCGGCTCTGTTTTCTGTCGAGCAGTCTTGCTTTCCCCCCGTTTTTTTTTCTTTTTTCTTTTTTGCATTTCTGTCACAGGTTCTTTCAAATTCGAGTTAATGTTTCGTTAGAGAAAGAAAGAGGAAGAAACAAATTGCTCCATCAATGTTTGTCTTTTTGCTTGTGTGATTGGTCGAACTTTCATTTTCGTTCAAGATGGTGGTTTTTGTTTAGGCATTCGTATGATGTTGCAACGAGCAAGAGATCTACACCTGCAATTCTTGTTGAATGTCCGATTGCTTTTTCTTTCTTTCTTTTTTTATTTCCGGGGGGGTGGGGTGTGGAGCGGAAGTTAGTTAATAATGTTGCAGAAGCACCAGGCATGTTGTGGGTCACATGGCTTAATAGACCCAAGATATTAGGTTGACCTGGAATTGTTTAAGAATATATATGTCATAACTGAAGTTGCCATTATATGATAAATTACGTTTGTTATGGAAACTCAATTTGGCAAAGAGACATGGAAATTATCACATTTTACTACTTGGATTGCGTTTTTCAGAAAAAGATACTTCTGAAAAACCAATTTTCAGGTAATGCAATCTTTCATGTTTTTTGTTTTGCCTCTGTAATGTCATCCTCCGGGCGACTGATCTATTCACGCTGTGGTTTCTCATGAGATTACTCTCCACCAAGTAGACGTTACCATAACTAGTGGCGTATTTCTATAATGCAGTCTGGTTATTCATCACCTGCTGAGTCGGGCATAATGGAGGACTTGGGGCTCTCTACAGCAGCGGTGAGTCCTATCAAGCATACATGCTACATGGCTACCATTTTATATTCTCTCAGCCCTGCATAGTTCTGTTATTCAAGGGTAAATGCTGGGAATTGTGCATCTTAAAGTAAAATTTACCGCCAAGAATTGAGCTATAAGATGTCCTCAGTGCATTGCTAGACAGTGCGATGAATTCTGACCAGTTTCAGCCAATTCCTTGTTCAGTAGAATCTGTGCAGAACCTCTGATATTATCATTGCGAATTTCATTTGCACTTTTCCCTAAAAGCATGGTTGATGCCAAAAAACTCACGACCTGAAGAGCTAGCTAAGGACTTCTTCATCTGTGACACTGTTGGAATTAGGGAATTTTTCAGTCACAATCCAGGGTCTCTAATATTAATATTCATTCATTTCTCATGTTACAGTATTCGCTTTTTGGTTCTATATTAACAATAGGAGGGTTAATAGCAGCTTTGGTTAATGGGCGGATGACAGATATGATGGGTCGTAGACACGTAAGTCATTCTCTAGCCCTTTCCAGCTATTCGTGAATTTGAAAATCATTTATGTTCAACCAAGATCCTGAAAAAATCTTACAGAACTCTTAATTGATGCGATGTGACACAGACAATGGGGATTTCACAAATATTTTCCACTGCAGGATGGCTTTCTATAGCATTTGCCAAGGTTCATGCTCTGTCTATTTACCGCTCCAGAATTTTTCTTCATAGATTGGCAATGACTTGATCCACAAAACTTCAATCACATTCTACTTTTCTGAGTTGTCTATTCTCCGAAAAGGCTGAGAAGCAGTTAATGGTGTATTTCATCTTACCTTGCAGAATGCTTGGTGGCTAGATATTGGAAGACTGTTAAATGGAGTTGGCATTGGGATTGTATGTTACGTGGTAAATGCAGAAACATTCACATTTATTACACTAATTAATTTCTAGAAGACGTTGGTCATAATATTGTTGCCAAACAGGTACCTGTGTACATTGCCGAAATAACACCCAAAAGTATCCGGGGAGCATTCACAGCTTTAAATCAGGTGAAATTTTGGGCCACTGTAAAATGTTTATGGTGTCAACTCAATGCATTGCCTATCAACCTTTGCTGGATCTGGTTGCAGTTTTTGTTATGCTGTGGCTTTTCGTTGATTTACTTTCTTGGAACTATTGTTTCCTGGCGTATCTTGGCCTTCATAGGTACTGTCTCGGTTCTCTTCTGCTTTGTTTTGTTAGATTTTGTCTTGGGAATCATGATAAGGTCACTGTCCACGATTTTATTTTCAGGTTGTATCCCCTGCGTACTTCAAATTTTCGGTTTATTCTTTATCCCGGAGTCTCCTAGATGGCTGGTAAGTTGTTTATGGAGTGTATCAGGTACTCTTGAGGAGCCATGTAATTTCGATTGTGGCCATCACTTTGTTTGATGTAGCTTCATTCGACGGTGATCATTTCATCGGTGTTGTCAAAATTTGTCATTCAATGGTGATGATTTCATGGTTAAGTAACCATGACATAATGGAACTTGGATAATTAGATGATGGGCCAAACTAAATAGCACAAGTAGCATGCTGCATGCCATGTGGAGTATTTTGTAGCCCACCACGATGTATCGCAAGGCATGGAAATCATTTTGAATATTCTCATGCGCAAAACACATTGCTTTGTTAAAATTTTTGATGGAATTTGGGAAGAGTGGTAATGAAGTCAACATTTTACCAAAGAATAATTTTACTCATGACTGAAATTGAAGTCTAGCTGTGAACTGAGAATGACCAGAGGTATAGTCATTACAATTTCCTCGTCAAGACAATTCGCGTGATCATTTATGTAAGAGTTCACTAATAATCTAAAAATCTGAAATGATAAATTAAAGTTAATGTTGTAGGAATATTGGAATGAGGACTCTGCATTTTCCATTGCAAGGAAGATGATTAGTGTAGTTATTGACTGATAGGTAAAAGTCGGTCAAGAAAAGGAGTTTGAAGCCACATTGCAGAGACTCCGTGGCAAAAGTGTTGACATTTCCCGGGAAGCAACGGATATCAGAGTAATTTCTCCATTTCACATATCAATAGGAGAAATTTTTCCCTTTTCCTTCGACTTTTTAGTGTTTCGATTCATATTGTCTTACAGGACTATACAGAAACCTTTGAACGGCAATCCCAGTCTAGAATTCTCGATTTGTTTCAACGAAGATACGCTCATTCCCTCATAGTAAGCCTTCCCTCCAAAATATTCAAAATTGCTTCCCATTTTTTGCTCCGTTTTTTGTTCCTATTTCCTAATTTTTTCAAAGCTTAGATAGGAGTCGGATTGATGATCCTTCAACAATTTGGAGGGGCAAATGCATTTGCCTACTATGCGAGCTCTATATTTGAATCAGCTGGTAAAAATCACGCTAGAAATTCGTTTGTTAATCATAAAGATCGAAGACTTGGTAATCTCAACTTATTTTTCTGACAGACTTTTCAAGCAGCATTGGTACCCGAAGCATGGCTATTGTCCAGGTAATAGACTCTGGAGAACTAAACTGGAAGAGGAATTTCATTTATCACATTTTCAAGATTTTCTCACCTGTTTTGCAGATCCCAGCAACCGCTCTTAGTGTAATCTTGACAGATAAAGTTGGAAGAAGACCGCTTTTAATGGTGATGAAACCAATACATATTGCTGCATTCTCCTAAAGTAAGTTGCTCATAAGCATTATAATCTGACATTCATTTGCAGATTTCTTCAGCTGGAATGGGCTTGAGTTGCTTTGTTTTAGGATTCTCATTCTTCATGCAGGTATTCAAACAGTGACTAAGCCTACTCGTTCTTCTTGATCTCATGAAATGGCCTGAATTTTTTTATTATACCTTTCTGTGAAATCAGGACCTGCAGTATTGGAAGGAAGCTACACCCATTTTGGTGTATGTATGCATTATGGCAAGTCTATAACAAAGATTTTCTACTTTCTTGTTTTTCAACTCTTATATGACTTGCTCTTATGATAGAGGGCATATTGAGTTGCGGCTCAATCCAACTTTGCCGGGCAATAATACATTGGAGAGAACACTTCGACAAAAAAAAGCCTTCATTATAATATTGCTGCTTCTAAGTCCTGACTCAACCTTCTTTCCAGGACTAGTAGTATTGAAGTTGCTGACAGATGATTATTGCAATTAGGTGTATTCCGTAGCTTACTCACTTGGCATGGCAGGTTTACCGTGGGTCATAATGTCGGAGGTAAATATATACCTTCCGTCTAACATTGCACTTTGTAGCCTCTACTTCGTGACCATTTATAGGATTAGAAACCTATTTATACCGGTGGACATCTTCTCAATAGGTATTCCCAGTAAATGTTAAAGGGTCGGCTGGAAGCCTGGTGACCTTCTCCAATTGGTCCTGTTCTTGGATCGTCAGCTACACTTTTAACTTCATGTTGGAATGGAGCGCACCCGGTAATTAATCCCCCTCTTTTTTTCATTCTTGTTCTATGGTTTTCACTGGCTATGCTTCTCTGGAGCCTAAATACATGAACTGCATGAGTTCTTATGTTGGTCGAATGTACTAACAAATCTATGTCTTGACTATGCTGCTTTCAGGAACCTTTTTGATCTTTGCGTGCATTTGCGGTTTAACTATCTTATTCACTGCGAAGCTAGTGCCGGAGACCAAGGGGCGAGCATTGGAAGAATTGCAAGCATCACTTGCCCATTTTCTGCAATGATTTGTACCTTGTTGAGATCTGAATTGGTATGATCATTGTGTTGCCAAGCACATAAGGCATTGAGTCATGCTGTCGAGAGGCTTTTTGTAGGGTTGACTTTTTTGTGCCTGATTGTGAAAAAATTTGCAATAATAAAAGGGGTGAAAAAAAGGGAGATTTCGTTGCAATTTGTTTAACCTTTTATACTGACTGATTTCACCATCCTCAGGTCAACTTTGTTGGATGCTGGCAAATTGCCATACCAATGATGATTGACTTGCAAATAATTAAGGATTAATACCACAAAAAACCCCAAACTAATATATCTGTAACAATTTTACCCCAAACTAATTTTTAACCATAAAAAACCCCAAACTGGTACACCCGTGACAAATTTACTCTCAGTTTATTTCCGTTAAATTTTACAGTCAAATTCTTTGTTAAATGACACGCGGAAGTTGACTGATGTGCTAGTTTTATGTTTTACCATCCGTTTATCATAGGTGCATCAATTTGTGATTTTTTATGGTATTAATCTAATTTAACGGAAACTAACGGAGGGTAAATTTGTCACAAATGTATCAGTTTGAGGTTTTTAGTGGTCAAAATATTAGTATGGGATAAATTGGTCACTTGTTTCCCAGTTTGGGATTTTTTGTAGTAAAAAAATTAGTTTGGGGTAAAATTATCACAGGTGTATCGGTTTGGGGTTTTTCGTGGTATTAACCCTAATTAATGCTTTAAAACTTTAGTCAACTTTGCCGATTACTTGTTTCTGATTACGCACGTTATGTTTTAGTTATACTTCCATTTCATCAATTCCAAATTACGACACGTGAGTGAGAAATAAAGTTCTAGTGGAGTGCGATCGAGTTCTAAACATGCAATTAAGTCCGAGTTTTGATGCCATTGTCGAATGATCGAGTCCCTCCTGTACCGCCAACCTGGGACTGCTCGATATATGTAGCGGTAGGACCATGTTAAACGTGACATCTAGAAAGAAAATCCTTTTTCATGATACTCGGATTTGCATAAGCTTTTGTGATAGGGACGGATCCATGCCATGTGATGTGAAGGCAATTCCCCTCGCTCATTGTTTAGTGGCCTACTAGCATATCTATAGTCTTTCACTATTTTTCAAATTTGCCCCCTCAAGAGTTGACAAAAGAATGCTGCAACAGAAGCTATTGATTCCCACATTTCCTTAATTTTCGCCCCTTAATTGCGAACCGTTTATCGACAATTGTGCAGTCATCAAGAAAAAAATAGTTCACAAATAAATTGTGTTATCACACATACATAACCCATTATTTTAAATACAAAAAGTCCGACAATATTAACTTAGGCTCCGCTTGTTCCGCGGGAAATAAATGATTTGGAAAACGTTTTCTTAAAAAATGCTAACTTATATCACTTGAAATAATTAGTTAATAAAAAATGTTTTCATTGTTGGCGACAGTTTATGTCTAAATATTTTTATGGACAATGAAAATGTTATATGCTAATTTACTTTTGTAAGCGATTCAATCGATGATTTTTAGAAAATTATTTTTCAAATCAACCATTTTTCGTGAAACAAACGGATACTTAGATTATTAACATCTATGAAACATATCATTAACTGTTAGGTTTGGCCACTTAATTTTTTTTTTTACATCCGTCCTGGATTCGCTACCAGGTTCTGCCCTTGATTTACTTTGCATGTGAGGTTTTCTATTGTCAATTCCACGTTCTATCAGTCTAGTTTGCATGTTAGAGGAGGTATTAGAGTATTCTCCACGACCTCATCTTTTTAATTTTTTAGTATCGATTTTTAAAAAATTATCTCTCCATGCCATCTCTCATCTCTAATTATTCTCCAAAATAGTGTCGGATAGGTGGCACCAGCAGGTTGGTGTAGTTTTACATCGACCATCAATGAGTGAATTGCCGCTATCACTACTACAGATATGAGCAAATTATACACATGATCAATCAAAGAATAAATAACTTAGAAAAAGAACATAAAATAATGAGTAGACTTTAGAGTGAAGAAACCAGCTCATGCAACAGACAGTCCTTTGCCTATCGGCACGCACGTTTCGCCGTGGAAGGATGTGTGTTTTGGGATACTTTTCCATTTTCCGTTTACTGCGGCTTTATCGCTCCTGTTCATGCATGTCCTAATGAGGCATCATGTCGTTCCATCTCCCATTGATAAGGTCATTGCAATTATAGCACCCATTTGCGCACCTCCCTTAATAAGACACCACATCGTTTTAACTTCTGTCGATGCGGTCTATATATGTTAGAGTAATTAAATATTAAATTACGCTTTCATTTAATAACTTAAACTTTTAGAATAATTGACAGTGATTTCACAAAATTTCACATGGTATCAGAGTTGAAAGTCTCGAGTTCAAATTTTTCCGGGCCCCATTTGACTCCCTAACTAAATATGTCCATACTTAGTACTAGGTAAAAAGATCAGACTAAGCATAAATGGGAGTATTAAAGTAATTAAATATTAAACCACGTCTTCCTCTAACAGCTTAAGTTTTTAGAACAGTGAAAAATGTTGCTTGAACTACTTGCCTTCAAATACTCCCATATCATCTCCAACCCTGATGACCGTTTGGAGTTCACGGGGTATTTGACCATGGCGTGTAGGCTTTTCGGGCCAATAAAGTCAACATCGATTCCTTCCATTCCTTCAAGACAGATTACTAGGACGGGAGGAATGGGCCCATCATGCTGAAGCAGTCCTTAAGGGTTGTTGAAGTGGACGGGTGAGTTGTGTTACAAAAGTCTAACATAGGATAAGTGATGTAGTGTGAAGCAGTTAATATATCCAAGTTGGCCCATAACTCATTGACTTAAGCTTTTGAGTACAGGTAAGTTCAACTAGATATATTGACGAGCTCGGACTTGGGCTCCCTCTTGGCGATCTTACCGGTGAAGGTATCGGGCTTATGCTGCGTGCTCTCAACAAGGGCCACAGCCAGATTTTCGAGCTGGCTGAAAAAGTGTATGCCAAGCTGGTTCATGAGAGAGAGATAGGTTGAGAAACAAGCTCGTTGCCGTTGATGGCCACATCGAGGCAGGGAGAGACACTGCCGAGTTGGAGCTCGAGAAGGGAGGCTCACTAGAGGCTGAATGACTCGGACCATGACGTCCAGGTTGCCCTGTCCTTTGTGAGGCTTGCTGGTTAACTCGTCAAGAACCAACAACCCTTGTTCGATGAGCTTCAGGATGACTGTGATCATCTTTTCCCCTTGTTCAAGTGCGCGCTTCGATTGCCCATCAGGCTACTGAGGAGAACAATCAAGTGAGGAGCGCCTGGTCTCTTTTGAGTTTAGGTTTAAGGCACATGTTGGTCTGATATGGCCAACTGATGTTGTTTCGCTGTCGCCGTACCTGTCTTTTGAGTAAAAGTAATTCCTTTTCGAACTGATGCATTTCTTTTTCTCATCGATGTGCATATTCCATTGGCAAGTTCTTCTCGTATTTCTTTTCCTTACAATTTTCCTTGCTCATGTTGGATTTTTTGCATCTCCCAGATGGTCGGATAACACTTTTTTTTTATAAATATTTTCTGTTTATTGACCTTGGTAACTCGTTCTCATCGACATCCATTAATCGATAACTGTTGCCGGTCAAAACATCCATAACCGAATAGGGTCCTTCCCAATTAGATGACCATTTGCCGAATTTTTCGTTATTTGCATTTATCGGCAATATAGTCTTCCACACTAAGTCACCAATATCGAAGTGTTTTGCCTTAACATGTTTATTGTAAGCTCTAACGACTCTTCTATTTAGGTCAATCACTTGCTCTAATGCAGAGATTCTGTCTTCTCCTAACTTATTGATGTTCATATACATCAATTCATCATTTCCTCTTTAGTCATATCTCCTTGCAACATGACTCTTAGAGATTGGACGGTAATCTCTAAAGGAGGTACAACTTTTTATCCCTGTGCTTGATCATTTAGATGTTCGATAATTCCATAACACAATCGACAGAAGGGAATTCCATTCTTTAGGATTTTCTTCCAAATGTTTCTTGATAAGATTAATTAGAATCTTATTTGAAGCCTTGGCCTAAGTATGGTAGGCTCTTGAGTGGATCATTTTGATCCCTCTAGACTTTGTAAAGTCTAACACCTCTTGACTAGTAAACACGGTCCCTTGATCGACAATTATTGTCTTAAGTATGCCAAATAGATGTTTAATATGCACTTGTATAAACTGTTTCACAGTCTTTTGTGTAATATTTTTGTAGGAGACCGATTCAACCCATTTGTGAAATAATCGGTGGCAACCAAACTAAAATTATCTTTTTTAGATGAAGGAGGGTATATTTTACCGATTATGTCGATAGCACATCCTCGAAATGGCCATGGTTTAACAATGGGTTTTACCATCGATGTTGGGACATGTTGAATTGGGCCTTGCTTTTGACAAGACTCACATCCTTTTGCATAATTAACGCAATCTTCGGTTATAGTTGAACAGAGGTACCCACGAAGACGCAATAGCCATTTCATATTTATTCCAGCTGGATGAATGAATCATGTTTGTCTAAAGATCTGACTAAAATCCCATCAACAATTCGTTTATATAACTCATCGCCAAGTAGCAAATTTTTCATCGCTTGTCTTTTAAAATTTGTCTTTCTCGACTGGGTTTTTCAAGTAATACAGTTTTCTCCAATCCTCTTGGTCAGCACTGATGCTGTGACCTTTATTAGTCAAGTCATCAGCACTTGATTTTCTATTGAAGGCAATATTTTTACTTTGGTGATAATGAATTTGGCTAACTCTTTTGATATTCTATATCCGGATGCCATTTGAGCTAATTCATTGGCTTCCACGTTCTCGTCTTTTTTGATATGGACCAATTCGTGGTCGGAGAAGTTATTTAGCAATTCTTTTGCTGAGGCATAATGGCGAATGATGTTTTCACTGAGGCATTGATATTCCCCAATCAATTGTTTAATGACTAGCCGTGAATCCTCTTTTATTCTAATGAACTAAACGTTCATGTTGACCAATGTGTTTAGGCCAACTATTAATGCCTCGTACTCCACATGATTATTAGAACAATCAAAACCAAGTTTGAACATAAACTTGGTTTTATGTCCTTGCTGAGATACTATTAATATCCTTATGCCTGAGGAATTATTTTCACATGGTACATTAAAATA